CGCGAAAGTATTATACTTCCACTTAACGCCGGTCTTCTGCGAGGTCGTAATACATACCCGTACGAGCCTGCCCATTCGTGCAACAGCCGAGGCTGCTGTGTGGCCTTACCACCGTACAAAGTGATTGGTGATCGAGTGATTTGTTCTTTGAGATTATTGCATTGAAAATATTAGCCGGTAAGTGCATTTATAGGTATAGAAGTGCTTTTAGAAATTTATTACTGATTTGGTATGTAAGCAGAACGAGGGCTAGTCAGAAGGAATTCTGGAGTCACTACAATCAGGACGCTTACTGGTGGTAACGCAGTCTTAAATTCGAAAACGCGGTCATCCTCCGATGTTTTCACGGGATGACGTACATAGAAACTAATGTTTCCGCTAGACTTTCAGCTTTTCAGATTTATCGAATAAAGAATCGTTGCGGAGTCATGAGATAGCTTGTTTTCCTCGTAGAACGTCATGGGACTTTCTACGAGGAAAACAAGCTATGGGCGCAATATCGGTATTCGCTTATGCTGTCTTTTACTTTTAGTTGAAGGTGCGTTGTAATTGGAATAAATAAGAAAAAATCTGCGTACTTGTGGGAAAGAAAGAGATATACAATACAAGGTTTATCGCACAGAAAAGATTTAAGATTGTACTGCGGAAACATTAGTTTCTATGTACGTCATCCCGTGAAAACATCGCAGGATGACCGCGTTTTCGATTTCCCGATTTGTTTCAAGTGGATTAATACAGTTTTATTACTTACCCCGAAACCTGCAGTTATCTCTGAAGTGCTTTGTGATGGATCCGCTTCCACAATAGTCTTTAATTTTTCATTTCCCACTTTGGTTTCCGGCCGTCCACGCGGTTGGCTCTGAAGGTGGAAATTTCCAGAACGAAAACGTTGAAACCAAAAACGTACTGTGCTTTCTTTTGTGACACCAGCGCCGTACACATCATTAATACTTCGAGCTGTTTCTGCAGCACTGGTGCCGCGGTAGAACTCGTACGAGTAAATATACCGATATTTCATGTTTTACATTGTGCGGTAATAAGCCACGCCACAGAATAGCAGCGACGGCTAAAAGGTACAGCATGAGGAGCGGTCACTTTAGGCGCCAGGTAAGAGGCGCTACAAATCAAGTGCAAAAAGCGATTTTGACATAAAATAATATTTTGAAAGAACCGGGACAGTTTAGATTATTAACAAATCGATTTTAATACTTAGTGACTGATAAAACTTACAACAAATACTAATTTAGTTATATTAGTAGGAGCGTTGTTAATGTTGTTGGAGTGTAATAATTACAGATAGGTATTTATTTTTATTTTAATTTGCATGCAATTTAACAAATGTGATATTCCGTTTTTCTTCAATTACTATTTAGAATACCTACACAGATTTCATTATTGGGAGACTAGTTGAAATTAACACAATAACGATTAAATTATGTAGCAGAAGAAACATTCTCAATGTAATAATATAATGTTTAAAGAACCAATAATAACTAGAGTTCTTGATTTAATTTAAATTCAATAACCTTGAGTATTCAATTTGAGGTCCCGGTTAATAACTAGAGTTCTTGATTTAATTTAAATTCAATAACCTTGAGTATTCAATTTGAGGTCCCGGTTAATTTAATTTGTTGATTCCACGGTGGTCAGTCGGTTCTCCAGATTTAACTGGAACGTTTTTCCTACAACCGTTTGGATTCATTTATTCCGAATCGTGAAACTTATCAAACAGACACTTTCAAGCTTAAAGGTGATTTTTTACAAGCCCGAGAGCCTTTTACAAGTCAACGGTCATTTCCGGTGTAGAACCTTTGAAAATTGCAACCCTGGAAAACCTGCCTATAGCGATTGACAGCACTAACGCTGATTTGGCTAGTATTTCTAATTGGAGTAAGACATACGATTTGACTATCAATTCTACAAAATCTCACTTTCGTCTGCCTTCTGCAATCTGCCTTCGCAGGAATACCCATATTCTCTCTGCTTTGTACCTGTTTAATCTCAATATTCCTAAGTACTTAAAAGATAGCTTCGATATCTTTCCGTATCCCATGAAAGATTCCTTCGTTCTTCTATCAATCTCCCTCCACTTCCCAACTTCTTTAATTTTTAACATTCGACAAACTCTCTTCTTCCTTTTAAAATCTAGTAAAAGCTCATTACTTGGAACAGTGAACTCATGCTTTTCTTTTTACATAAAATCCATAATCAAAACAAAATAACTTTCAAACAAACTAAATAAAAAAGAAACTAAATTTGTAAGATCCTATATAATCACAACTAAATGATATCATACATTCAGAGACTTATTTCAGAGAGGGCGGCAGATGTGGGAGTAACTGCTGCCCCGGGTAGGGCTTGAGAGATATGCCGCGTTTATTGCATCGACACGGCATCATTTGGCTGGACCGGGTGTCCAAACAACTGTCGAAAGGAGTCCACAATTGCGCCAGGGTACGCGGGAGATGCGTTTTCGTGTATGGGTACCAGGCAAAAGCGACAGTGCAGGTGCAACGTGGGTTTTTAGTGGGTACACCCGTAACTCTCTCCTAATGCCTACCCATGAGGTGGCGGAAGATCCATAAAGGATTTTCCCATGTAAAAAAAGGTTTTGATTTTGAATAGCAGTGCCGAGAACTGAGCGCTAACGTGGGGCACGATCTTTCGTGGCCCGCCGTGGTCGTGCTAAGGTAGACAGCGAGCATTCATGGAGTGCAGTCCTTGCATTCTGCGAGGACACAATCACCCGGAATGAGGCAAGCTCCGGGGCAGCAAATGTGGGATTAACTGCTGCCCTGAGGGGTACCGTAACTCGGTAACAGAAGACAGGGAGTGTGGTTCCTCTGCTATCACCCTCAACCTGTCCCCTGCAGTCTCCAAGCACGCATCCAGAGTTTGATGATTCCGTGGCGCAGTTGCCAAGGTATTGGCTTCGGCGTCGGAAATCGTGGGTTCGATTCCCACACGGGACAACTATTAGTGCGACCTACAGATAGTTGTTTCGCAAATGTTAGTAAAACGTCTTTACAACAAAGGATAATGATATCCTAAAGTGAGGGCAATGTTTTTTTTTGAAAGTGGAGTGAGACTACTCGGAGTGGCCCTCTCGGACCGGCCTCACACCACAGGGCAGCCCATTATAGAATTGGACACGAACTGACAACGTAATGCCATCATTGTGGTGGGGACCAGGATTCCGCTTGCTGAGTGCCCCGCGTGGGAGTCAGAGCGTCGGATCCTGGTCCAAAAGATCGGGCAGGACCTTTCTCCACAAGTCGCAGTGTCGGCTGCACCGGTGGAGAAATCTCATTGGACGACACTGATCTCCTTCTGTGGAGCTGTTATGCTCCAGAAGGAGATCGCTGAACGAGAACGGGAGAGGGCTAATCCCGCTCGGAGACGAAGGTGTCGGGCCGGCAAAAACGGACGAGCCACCCGGTCAGCCCTGTAGTTTCGGGCTTATAGAATAGGGGTAAGGTATCCTCTGCCTTGTCGTAAAAGGCGACTAAAAGGGGACACGGATTGGCAGCAACTTGAATTGCAACTTGAATCGTTTTGAAGATATCCCCCGATACCAAAAAAAAAGACAGCCCGGTATGGGTTCCACTTGGGCTCGCCGTGGGTGACCAAGCCATGGCTACTAAGCCACGACAAAATGGGCAATCGGAGGAGAACGTACGCCACCGTGTACGCACTGAAAAATTTTTACAACGTCATCATGGAGGTCCCTGTTGACCGGAAACCCAAAGCACTTTGGGATTGCTTATCTCTCTCTCTTTCTCAGAACTACAGTTGGTCGGATTCCAAGATAATCTTGTCGACGCCCTGTCGTGGGACCTCACATAACGCCTGAAGATGCTACTTGAATAAATTGTTGTCAAGCATTAAAACGCCGGGATCAGTTGGATTTTGCAGCTTTCCGTTACCTGTAGATTCGTGATCAGGAATAGCAGGATGGCCGGGAACTGGGGCCGTGGGTAAGTCTGGTTTAAAATGAGAGGTTTTGCTCGTAATCACCACGACTGATATGATTTTTGGCGATCGTAGTACGTAGCTAGTCGCGACTTACCATCATCATCCTGCGTTATTTATGCCAGCTACGTATGTATGTAGCCTGTTACGGCACCGTGAATTAAAAGAGGGGGCGAATATTAATTTTCCAGAAATGAAAACATTTATTACAATATTATTTGTTTCTTCACATGGAAATATACAATACTTTACTTAAAAATATATTATAAATGTGTATTTTAAGTAAAATATTTTTTAAATTATAATACTTGATAATTCAAACATAGGACTGACGGAACGTTTTCATTATCAATGTTTACATTGATTGACAATCGTTTTATTAACATTGGCATTGGCCTAAAGGTCTTATTACCAGGCCATAATCAAAATTAATTAAAAAAATTATTAACATTGACAGTGACAATATCAGCTGACACTGACAGAAAACATCAGTAATCAGTAATTTTATTTTTAACATTAGGTGTTATGAAATAATTATTTTAGGGAAAGTAAAAGACTAAGGCTGAAACATATATAAGATGACTTAAATAAAAATAAAAAATCTATTATGGGAGAGATAAAATTGTTATGAATTTTATAATTTCTGAATTATTGATAATTTTATAAATATGTTCGCACAAAGCTCTTATTTTCATGTTGCTTCTATCATAAGATATCCCTGGAAACATTGCGCACAATGTGTAAAATGTTTGTCCTCACAAATTGAGAACAATATATCATCCGAAAGTCCTTGGAATTTGTACATGAAAAAAGTGTCAAACGAAATTCTTAGTCCAGATGCCCACCAGGAAATAGTTGTACAGCAGTTACAAAAAGTTTATGAAGAAGTTATATCATTCAACAGGCCTACATTAAGGACGCAACAAAATTCTCTGCTTAGATTCTTTAAAAAAAAAGAACCAGAAAAAATTATTGCACCAAAAGGGCTTTACATTTATGGAAGTGTAGGAGGAGGAAAAACTATGCTAATGGATTTATTTTTTGAAACAGTTCCAGTAAGTGACTTCAAATATAAAGATTTCCATAAATGTCTTGTATAATGTATACAGGGTGGCTTTTCTAAGTGTATCCATTTTTTTATTAAATTCTAGACATAAATAATGTTATATAAAAATGATAAATGTTTAAAATCACTCGTAAGTAATTGATTATATTCATTTGAACTTATCTCAAAAAGTGCGTGATTTATACGCAACTATTTATTTTACGCGTGATCATTCATAACTAACATGCACAAGTTCGTGCACAGTAAAATTTAGGTATTTATAAATGACTACCGCATTGTAAACACGTTCTGTTTTTTAGGGAATAGAATGGCATTTTTTTTGAAAAAAAAACTGTTTTTTATTTCAATAAATGATTATACTACTGAGTCTGAACCTACTGTGTAAATTTGGGCACTTCTCAAAAAATTTCCCTGTATTATTTTCAAACTTGTTCATGTTAAGTTATTTATATCTTAAAAATTAAAAATTTCTAGATAAAGGAGAAACTTAGAGTTCACTTTAATTCATTTATGTTGAATATTCATGCTAGGATACATGAACTAAAAATTAAATCTGGAAAAGGTGCAAGCTCATTTAGAGATGAGTCCTCTAAACCATTTGATCCTATCCCACCAGTAGCAGCTGATATTACACAAGAGTCGTGGCTTATCTGTTTTGATGAGTTTCAAGTGAGTAATTGGTTTTAATTTAATGATATTTGGACTTTTTAGATTGAGTTATGGTTTGATGAGATATTAGTTTTTTTTAATTTTGCCAATAATACAGATGTTTCAAACACTTAAAAATATTGGATAACCAGAGCTAATTTTATATTATTGGAAGGTTACAGATATAGGAGATGCAATGATATTGAAGAGGCTTTTTACACAGCTTTTTGATAATGGATGTGTTGTTATTGCCACAAGTAATAGGAAACCTGATGATTTATATAAAAATGGATTACAAAGATCTAATTTTCTTCCATTTATTCCTATTTTGAAACAGCATTGTACAGTTATACAGTTAGATTCTGGAATAGATTATAGATTACGAGGTACTGGCAATAAGTATAGTAAATTTTTCATGTGAGTATAGTATAAAAACTCTTGATTGCTTTCTCATAATAATTGGCAATTATGGAATATTACTTTGGCTTGTCTACAGAAATGATGAACTTAGTAAGGATGATAATGTTGTGGACAATCTTTTCAAATTTCTTATATCAAAAGAAACTGATAATGTTAGACCTCGTGTGATTAATATTATGGGAAGAAATGTGAAATTTGCCAAATCATGTGGAAGAGTATTAGACTCTACATTTGAGGAGTTATGTGACAGAGTAAGTTCATCATTTATTGGCACTCAATATATATTTAGTCTAGTTACAAATGTAATGTATTCAGCCTATGATCTTCTTTATTTGAGCACTAAGTTGTTGTGGGTGCAGCACCCATGCCAGTTCAGTTGTGCAACACCCTCGATTATGATATCTATATTTAGTCTATGATATCCTCTAAAAATATTACAATGTAATATTAGTAACAAGCAAAAGTTTATTAAATTGTACTATAATTTTTGTAGAAAACAATTTCAGAATTACTGTTTGATTTAACATGATGTTTATAGACATTAAAAATTTTGAAGTTGAAAAATATTTCAAATTAATGTTGTACATTTTATTTGTACACTATTTTCACTGTATATTTATTTTTGCCTAGTTGGTTTTATCATTAAATTTGTGGTGAGAATATATTACTACATAATTTTTTTAGCCCCTTGGTGCTAGCGACTATCTTGTTATATCGAAGACCTTCCATACTGTGTTCATACGGAATCTTCCACAGTTATCTATAATGAAACATAGATCACAGTTGCGTAGATTTATTACTCTCATTGACACCTTATATGACAACAGAGTTAGGGTAAGTAAAAATTATTAATAACATTAATAACTATCATTTAATTCATGTAACAAATAGCATCATAAAATAATAACATTTCCAAAGATAAGGTTCCAAAGGTTTCCCCTGTGGTTAGGCCACACAACAGTATTTGCTGTTGCACAAATGGGCAGGTCCATTCGGGGAAGTACAACAACTTAACAGTAAACTAGATGGAGTAGTGTTACACTTCCGAGTTTCGTTTGGTGAGAGAAATAGTGGGGGCCCACTTTATTAAAAGGTGGCAACACATCTGCAATCCTATGGCAAAATGTCCATTGGGCGGCAGTTATCACTTAACCTCAGGTGAAAAGCCAGCTCACTTGCCACCTTCTCAATTTAATAAAAATATGGTTTAATCTGTAGTGTACCTTATATTTCAGGTTGTCATAGTAGCGGAGTGTGATCCTAAAGATCTTTTTAAATTGGAAGAAAAAGATGAATATGCTGATGCAGACAGAGCTCTTATGGATGATTTAAAAATTACGAAAGATTCTGTGAGTGTAATAAATTATACAAGAACTTTAAAAATATATTATAATTTTTTTTAATTCCCATCTCCAATCTCTAAATTGCTATGGGAGGTTACCTTTTGAAGAAAGATTTGTTAACAATGAAAGAGGGAAAAGGAAATCTGATATTGTGAATTTGTTTTGTTCATACAGGAAGATGCAAGGGCAGCGATCTTTACTGGAGAGGAGGAATTGTTTGCTGTTGATCGATGTCTTTCAAGAATTATGGAAATGCAAACAGATGAATATTGGGATAAATGGGGAAAACATCTTGATTGATGTTGTTGTTATTCCTGAAACTCCTGTAGGCCAATTGTTTAAAATTGTTTTTTGTTTTTAAAGTAGTCAACTAACATATCCTAATATTTTTAATAGAGTAAGTAGAATTTATCACACTTCTTTATTGTTCATAACCTCTTTATAAATAATAGTAGATTACCATAAGTACAAAAAAATATTTAGAATAGAATGTAGTTTGTTCAGTATTAAATGACATTCTTTATTACCATTGTAATAAATGGCTATGTAATTTGTTTTTAGTCATACCTCCTAAGACAATTATTTTGTTTATAATTTATTGCTGAGCTCACAACAAGATTTTAGGAGCTAATGTGTTTTGGTGTTCAATAGACATAAAAATATTAAATATTTTTTATATTTGTTTTATATTGTAGATAAAAAATAAAAGATTTAATAAACAGAAATCGATTTTTTATTGACATAATATTTAACTGTATAAAGGTTGTTAAGCATTATCTTCTAGTCATACATGTGGCTGTAGTACTCTTGATATATTTGTATGTATGTCTCCTTCTCCGAGGGTGACATTTTGGCAATGACATCATCATCGACACTGGTCAAAGGAACCGCTTTGCCGTTCACCATTACTGTGGGTGCGTTGTCGTCCGAGTCTGAATCTTCACTCTCCATTTCGGCTGCGAATTTTCGTAGTGATGTTAAGATTTACGAAAATTTCCCTATTTTATTAATATAATCCGAAATCGTACCCAACTATGGTAAACATAGAATTCTTTTTGACGAAGTTCTGCCTATCGTTTTAAAATTTTATTATTCAAGCCCCCCAAAAAAGATCAAAAGTCAATGCTAAACAAGATTCTCTGTTATGGTAATTTATTAGATTTTGTATGCATATATGTATGGTATAAAATGTAATTGTCTCCAAATCATTTAAATACATAAATATAATCATGAATAATTTGCGTTGTTTAAGTAATTAATACGTCATATTTTTCATTTATCGATAATTGTGACCTTGAATATCTTAAAGTCAAAGTCAAAGTCAAATATCTTTATTCAATATAGAAGCATTCACTTACTTATTGATAGTCAAAAAACTCTACCACCGGTTCGGAAGGTAAGCCACTGACCTGAGAAGAACCGGCGTAAGAAACTCAGCGGGACAATTTTTTTTTTTTTTACTTGCCAAAAAAAATTACAAATATGTGTACAATTATTAAACTCCACTTGAAAGAGCCTGGAGCGATCAATTCATTTCCAGAGTGTGTTATCATTCATATAATCACTAATACTATAATAGCCATTAACACACAAACGTTCCTTTACAAGTTTTTTGAATTTAGCAACGGATTCATTTTGAACGTTTTCTGGGATTTTGTTGTAAAAGCGTATACATTGTCCCATAAAAGAAATTAATTAATAGTCAATCTCGAGCTTTTATGAAACGCCTATAATGATGTCAAAATAATTGTATTGTACCAATTGAAACGTTATCTCTCATTCCGATATTTTTAGCCATTATTTGACTAGAAACATGTTTACAAATGTATTGAAGTCCACTTGAAAGAGCCTGGAGCGATCGGTTCATTTTCAGGGTGATTTATCATTTAAATAATCATTTAATATTATAATAGCCTTTAACACAAACGTTCCTTATATAATTTTTTAACCTTTTAACGACCCGATCATTGCCTGACGCCAACCTTCCTTGGGCCAACACCATGTGGGAATCAAACACATTACTCCCGGTGCCGAAACAGGCAATTGCGCCACCAAGTACTCACCGACTGCCGCCAGCTCGTCCTTTAGTTTATATGGATCTTTGGATTCGTTGTCACTCGAATCGGAACTCTCCGGCTCAATTCCCTTCAAAGCGTTGGACACGTTGTTGCCTTGAATAAGAAAATAACATTGGGAATTCGTCAATTGACATAAAACATAGTTAAAATTAAGAAAAAAATGTGATAATCGAATACGATCATAAGAACATTTAAGACACATGTTACTTTTTAGAATAGTTTTATTTGTAGGAATTTTATAGTACTTTTTATGAATATTTCAGGTAGTAAAAAATTTTTAGGAAAAACAAAAAAATTTTAGGATAAAAAAAACTAATCCACGGATAGTCCATTGCGATCTCAAATGCAGATACTTCATATTATATGAACTTGGTTTTGTTGTTGGTGATTATTATTATCAAGTCGGTTATAGCATTGAAATTCTTACTAATTTAAGATTTCTAAAATCTTTTTATCATAGAAATACGAAAACGGTAATTTTTTTGGGATTTAGTTCTTTCTGTGTAATATCACTCTTAATTTATTATTATCATTACTCTAATTCTTAATGTGAATATATTCTGTAAAAAACATTTTAAGTTAATCGAAGTCATGGATAGACGATAGGGCGCTCACTTTTAATTTATATTGTATTTGAGTAACTTGAAATCTCGATGACGACATTAATAACAATAAATAATTTATTTTTAATCGCGTTTAATAAGATTTTTAAATTTCCAACGTTTCGAGTCCTTACTAGCATTCAGGGTCAATATTCGCTTAAAAACAAGAAATCAATATAATAATAACATTGTTCGATGAGCACGTATCGGTAGCCTTCAGGACCACAATGTTGAATTTGCAAAATGTTGAATTCCTAAAATGTTGAATTCGCAAAATGTTGATTCCCAAAATGTTGAAGTCTTAAAAAGTTGAATTTCCCACCCGGGTCACAATGTTGAATTCGCAAAAAGTTAAAGTTGCCGAAATGTTGAATCCTAACCAATGAATTGCTGGGTGTATGGTATTATTGTTCTAACAACAACTATCGGAAATACATCCTAAGGGATGGCACCGTCGACATCTATCGAGCTTGTCGCCATCCTGGGGAGTCGATTCGGCATGTTATCTCCGGTTGTTCCATGCTTTCTAACTCTGAGTATTTGCATAGACATAACATAGTAGCCAGAATCCTACACCAGGAGCTCACTCTGAAATACGGTCTCGTGGATCGGAAACTGCCGTACTACCCAGAGGCCGTCCTCGACAATGACCGCGCGAGGCTCTATTGGAACCGGCCCATCATCACGGACAGGTCGATTCTCGCGAACAAACCTGATATCGTGTTGATGGACCGGGCGCAGTCGCGTGTATTTTTGGTTGACATTACCATCCCATATGACGAGAACCTGGTGAAAGCCGAAACAGATAGGAAGACGAAATATCTGGACCTGGCTCACAATGTGACATGTGGGGTGGTGTGTTGACTGAAATTATCCCGATAGTCATGTCTGATAGGGTTGATCCCAATCAGCCTCTCTGAACATCTGAGGCGACTGGGACTCCGGGATGGAACGCTCCAAGCTCGAATGCAGAAGGCGGTGCTCCTCGATACCACCCGCATCGTCCGCCGGTTTCTCTTCCTCTCACCCTAACACTCGGCCGTTTGGTCTCCCCTGCCGAGGACTTCCGTCTTTTTTTCCGGTTGGATCATATTTATGTATGTATTTTAGACAATATCTATATGTTTATTTTTATTTATAACCCCTACCAGACGAGAAAACAAATATCCCCACAATAATAATTTATGTAACAATATCTATAAAAATTCATTTCAATTTATTTTTGAATCAATTCAGATTATATTTATGTATATAGTTGTTCGCATTGTTGGGATACAACTTTTTTGCATTCAACGTTTTGGGATTCAACATATTGCAGGTTCAACTTTTAGCGAACTCAACATTTTAGGAATTCAACATTATGGGACCAGTAAATTCAACATTTTACGACTTCAACATTTTGGGAATCAGCATTTTGCGAATTCAACATTTTAGGAATTCAACATTTTGCAAATTAAACATTGTGGTCCTGAAGGATCGGTAGCCGGTGATCGGCATCTATGAAATTGTTCAATTTAATTTTAATTACTTGTTTACTTTTGCTACAAAAACATTGCAAAAACTGATACATCTTAGTAATATAAAAAAATCAAGTTATGTGAATTCCGCACAGCACACATTATGTACAGTGAGGGCCAGTAGTTGGCCATATACAGCCACATGCCAGTAGTTGTTTCAGTTTATGGATGCACTTTGTGCTCTTTTTTTTAAAGCCTTAAGTGTAATCGAAAGTCATCATCATAATCAATTCTCCATCCACCGTTCTTGTTGCCGCTGGTTTCCTGTCCGTGATTCCTTAATTTAATTTTGAAATTACATCGTCTAATATCATAGCCTGCGTGCTATCGACCACAGGCCGCCTTATATTACATTATCCTTAAAGTTATATAATTATATAACACAATTCATATAAAATATTTAACGAAGTTAACAGTTTAACGTAACCTGATGTGTTCTGCTTCTCATGTGCAAGCAGGACAGACATAATGTCATCGTTCTTCTCTTTTCCGGTGCCCTTCATGTTACTGGCATTACTTGCAGCTTTCTCAAGCGCCATATCGGACGAGTGCACGCTGTCGCTCTGCAATAGTTTAAAACCGCTCGTTGATAGGAACCAAATATAGAGACAAGTATATAATGTTGTGACATGAATATAATGTTGTACTTGTGACTATATTCATAAGCTGCTACATGCATAACGGTGTAGATCAAGAACTTCAATTAATAGGTTAAAAAATGCTGGTTGAATGTCATGGTCTAGTAAAATTATTACTCGTTTTGACTTAAATTTATACTGACTTGCTAGATCTCTGTAGATTCCTAGCTTTTATGGCGTTGTGAATATCACACCACGAAGAAGTTATTAGAATGTTCGACAAGAAAATGTCAATTTATTAATCGCCTTTATTGGTTTATTTAGCCGTGACAGCACAGTGTCCGGGTGCTCGCTTTTAATTCAATATACTTGAGTAACCTGAGTTCAATCCCCGGTGCCCTAAGGAAAATGCTAATTTTAAGTGCTGATTTATAACAGCGGTGAAGGAAAATATGGCGAGGAAAGAGATTCATGTTTTCGAAATAACAATAAAAATTCAAAGATATGTGCCGCCAGTAGGGTTGCGTGTTGGACTATGCCCTAATACCTTTGGACAGTGGCTTTTGCCAAGCTTGGGACATATACAGGCGGTTACTTTTTCTTTTTTTACTTTATTGGTTTCCTATTTTTAATAGTAAAAGCTTTAGACAAAAACTTTCAACAGGGACCATAGGCACATAATGGTAACGATAATCCACATGTACAGGACACGTTTTTAGTTTCGAAATGAGTTAAATAATGTTTTACGATTGTCCACTTCACATCACATTCATGATTCATGAAAATTCTAGAGTTGTGTTGTCAACAAGACAGGCATTGTTTTATTCAATTTAGGTTAATTATAAACGTCAAAATCTGCCCTAGAACCCCGGTTCGCTAATTTATTTGTGAAAAATGGATCTATCTGGTTATTGCTTTAAAAAATTTTTACGGTTAAAACGAAAAGTAATCTACAGAAGAGTAACCCTTTTTGTACAGAACCCTAAAAATGCCCTGAAGTTAGAGCTTTAAGTTCATTAAACGATTCGCTCATTGCAGAAATCGGAGGAAATTCCTTCGGTGAGTAGTTATCACTGGACCAGTCGTAAATGAAAAAAATCAGACGTATTTTTGATTTAGCACTGACACTTGTAACTGTACACTGGCTTAACTCGTTCTTCGTTAATGACCGGGGTACCTACAGGATCAACTGAAGAAACGTTAAATGGGGCATAGAGGACACACAACTATCAAGTAAAAATTTTGTAGCAAAAGAACTTTTTCATATTATTCAGTGTCGCCTACATCCTATCTTCTGAACACCCAAGAAAAAACATTTGCACATGGCTTGGATGGGACATTGTCATGGGTCAGTTCTAAATGTAAAATAAACTGAAAACGTTATTTTCATTAACAACTGACATTTGTTCCTCGCCACCACTAGGTTGAATGAAATAACCACTATGAGTCAGTTCTAAATAAAAAACCAGAAGAATTTTTCTCATTTAGAAACGACAGCTATTTTAAGTACTTGTCACTGGCCAGTTGTAAATGAAAAAAAAGCAAATAGATGTTTGTCTGTTTAATCTGTCACCTGTTCGTTGGCGATGGTGCTCTCGACCATCCAGACGGGGCGCTCCTTGCGCTGGGTGGCGGCGTCGCCGGCGGCGTCCGCCTCGCCGATGGTGACGTCGACGCGCGTCTCCTCGACCGCGAGGCCCTGGCTGCGTGTCGCTTCGCCCGACCACTGCTCGCCGCCAGGCCGATTCGGCTGCTGCTTCATCGTCAATCTGCCGCCAAGGCCAATATGACATCGGATACCGCCGGTGAACAAACAACTCGTCCGCGGACGTATCATTGTCAGACTGTCACCAATGCTAATATGCCATCGGATACCGCTGATGCACAGATCTCGCCTGCGGATGTATCATCGTCAGTTTGACGCCAAGACCAATATGACGTCGGATACCGCCGGTGAACAGACAACTCGTACGCGAACGTATCATCGTCAGTCAGTGGCCAAGGCCAATATGACATCGGATACCGCAAATGAATAAATCTCGCCTGCGGATGTATCATCGTCATTCTGTCACCAAGGCTATGCCATGGAACATCGCTGATTGACGGATCTCATCTGCGGATGTATCATCGTCAGTCTGTCGCCGAATTGGCCCGCACATACCATCGGTTACTGCCGATCTTAAAGCACAACTCGTCCACAAAGGTATTATCGACAAAGCGGCCCGGGACGGCCGCGGACGTGCTGTTCTTGTCATTGACGGTAGTCAAGAACAGCACGTCCGTGGAAGTACCACGGCCTCAGAAGACCGGCGTATAGTTGAAGTATTTAGCGTGGTACTACAGGCCCGTCCTGTTCGGGTCAATTCAGCCTGTAGTGCCGATCACAGTTCGCTTACATTTTTCGTTCATATCTGCGATTTGGGAATAATGAAATAGATATGGAAATGAATAAATAATCCGTAAACGTGATTTATCTACTCTTCTAGCATCAAATTTTAAATTAGTATTTTCGTTATTTTAATATTCTTTCTTTCATAGAAAGAAGAAATAAAGAAAATTTATGAATAATAATTTTTTTAAATATATTTTTTGAAGTGCTGTATGTTTTCCAAACCAACAAAATAAAAATAAATATCAAAATACCCTCTGATGGTGTTGATATCCACCGGTTCTGGCTCCAATATCTCTGGTGCTAATTTGATACCTTCGACCTCCCTCAACAAGATATAGAGAGTTTCCAGCTGCTCGTTAAATTTGGCCAATAGCAGTCTGGAGTCCTTTTTAGGCAGTGCCGATTGATCCTCCTCAACGACTTGGTTACAGAAGGTACACCGGAACTCTTGTGTCATCATATCGTACAACTGATCCGCCTAAAATATCGTAAGGTCGAAATAAAAAAGATTCTAATAGATCGGATCTGATCGATTAGACGCGGGCTCTTGGTTATATGTTTGTGGATCGGCTGCCAACTTGTAAGTTAGTTATTTCTATTTTTAAAGAAATTGGGTATCCACCATCTTTGTGCTTCTATAAATATTTGTTAGAATATAATTTCGTTAAATAAAAGTTAGCTTGCGAGTTGCTTTGGAGTTCAGAATGTTTAACTAAATTTCTTTTTGCAAACTTTTCAAATTTTCTCTACTTTTACACTAAGTTTTAGTGTCTATGTATTACGTAACAAGCTGACTGCTGAAATAATGATGATGTCGATCACATAGTAATTATATAAGGGAATTTAAAATATGTTTATGTGATATATATAATATACATAACATTAAACAGAACACAAACGGTGAATTTTATATACAAACATGAATATTTGAACATTTAAAACTTACCTCGAGATCCGTAAATGTTTTACCACAGGAGGGGCATTTGAAGCTAGCACGGCTCGTTGCGTCCCTTTCCTCGGTTTCCATTCGCTTGCGCATCAAGTCCAGTTTGTATTTCACGACGTTCACAAATGTCTTATAGTTTATAAAATAGTAGTTAACTTTTTGCGCTTTCCCGTCGAGACCTAAGAAATGAGAATACACATTTTTTTTTCCTTGATATCATCGTCATCTTCAATTAACTGTGTCTGTACATAGTAATTAACTGTAGCGTTGCACTTGGGTTGCCAAAATTTACAGGGGTGGGTCTTTGGTGAGCTAAATCAACGGACGAAACGCAATAGTTTATACAGCACCATAGAAGTTTGGCGTAACGAGTATAAATATTTCTATGATATTCCCCCGAAAGAGCAATGGCAGAAGCTGTTAAATGTCACTTGCCACAAATTGCATGGCAAGGCCATGTCAATTTTTCTCTGTATTATATCAGTTGGATGTATCCATCTATATTACATATATACGAAATATGTTTTTATTTCGGATTAATATTTTTTTTATTTTTCTCCAAAAAGTCTTACTTTTATATCACTCAAATATTCACTACATTGTATTTAAGGACGTACCTGTTTCCATTTTCAATCTAACTTGAATAAATTTGTCGTTTTTCAATGTGGAAATTCTTGCTCGCAACATCTTCCGTTCAAATTTTAAAAGCTCACAGATATCATCTTCCTTCATACCTGAGTGGATAAGCGAAAGTTATAAACTGTTCTGCCGTTTTGTAAAGGCAATCTCTTCACTAACGTTTTAATTAGTGACGAAGAAACTCCGTACATTAAACTTTAATCGGTAAATTATGTGTACTCATCATTTCTCAATCATAAATACTTTAAAATTTGAATAAGAAATGCTCATTGAATAATGTGAATACTATTTAAGGTTTAGCAATGATTTTCATTTAATAAATACGGTAATAATGTACAGTAAACTGTAGGTAACATTGTATTCTTTAAACTTTAGCTGATTCATTAGGGTATTTGTTACGCCTAAAATTAAGAGCTTCATAAATACGGTTTAATGTTTTTTACTTTTTCTTTTGGTGTTAGAAGAATAAATAAACAATAGATTTATACTTACAAGGATTTCTAACAAGCATGTCTACTATAAGAGCATCTTCAATTGTATAAAATCCACGTACGACTAGCCTAGCTAATTGTTTTAGGCTGCTGGGCACTTCGGTTACAAGTCGCTCTTCCGTCATTGTAGCTAAAATTTGAAAACGAAACAAACAATATAAATAAAGCTAGATATCAAATTAAGCTATGGCCACAATCCAAGAAATTATATTTCAGGATGCAAAATAATCATCCTTGTAAGAATAAGGATCAGTACCTGGAGGACCTTTTTCTTGGTAAATCGTGTATTTTGGAGATACAAATTACTGAGTAATGAAATATGTATAATATTTTTCGATCTTACTGACGTAATAATAAGAAAATATGAACTCATATTTTTAAGAACGTTAAAAAAACTTTAAAAAGGGAAAAAATAAGAAAATCATCTGGATCGACAAAAAATAAAAAATAAAGAAAGCAATGATCTGGAATCGAAAAAAGTATATAAATGTAAAAAAAAAAGAAAAGCCTCCTGTTTCGGGGCCGCCCGATTACCGATCGAGCTATTATAACATTTTTTTTTCGGTGAAATTTACCGTCAAAAAAATTTTTATAATAGCTAAAAATGAAACCTAGCTAGATCGATTTTTCGCCCCCGAATCTTACACTTACTTTTTACTACACACTTATATTTTTACTTTTATTTCGATTCCAGATCATTGCTTTCTTTATCTTTTATTTTTTGTCGATTTGGTTTTTTGTTATTTTTTTCCCTTTTTTTTTAAGTTCTTTCTTTTGTGAAAAACACCGGTTCATATTTTCTTATTATTACGTCGGTAAGATCGAAAAATATTATGCATATTTCATTACTTAGTAATTTGTATCTAAATGTAATTTCCAAAATACACGATTTACCAAAAAAAAAAAAACAAACCGCAAAGCTCGGTCCTCCAGGTACTAACTTTTTTTTTCTTTTATTTTAAAAAACACTGCCCTTACTTTAGCATAATGTTATCCTGTGTTGTAAAGGACGTTTTACAAACATAAATTTCACGCGGACAAACACCCAGATGCGAAACAACTATCTGTGGGTCACACAAATAGTTGTCCCGTGTGGGAATCGAACCCATGACCCCCGACGCCGAAGCCAATAACTTGGCAACTGCGCCACGGAGTCATCATTAATAATACTATCACACTGCATATTATATATATCGTAAATCTTGTCGATTATTTACTCCTGTTGAAATAAATTTATTTCAACAAAATCTCTGTTTCCTTCCTTTTACTTATCAAGTAACAAAATTGCAGAAACATATAAAAAAAAGTGTTTACCATATTTCAAATGCAATATTCATTTACGATTTAGGAGTGCGACTGTACAAACATAGTGATTATTTTTTCTGGTATAAACTTGACGGTGAATGTAAGCTCTCTTGCATAGAGTAAACAGAGAGAGAGCAATAAAAACCCGTGTGGCGGAACATTTAATTGACATGAAACATGAGAGACCACACAAGTCAGCAATCTGTCAGCACACAGAATCTCCCCACAACCATTATATCAGATTTGATTATTATTCGATTTCAGATCCTCTATTCTACTTCTCGAGGCTATTGAAATTAAAACCATCCAAATATAAATGTAGCGCACAACCTTCAGCTTGTGATCTTGTTATTACTATTGTTATATGAAGGAATACATTCCTCTACTGTGCAAGACAAGATTTACTTTCAGGCAACGTAATACTATCTAATTAAGTTATAATTTTTAATATAATACCCCTCCACCACCGCCGAAAGAAAAAATTAAAAAAAAAAAACAGCGCCGGAGCCGTGACAGAAACCTGCTGCATATTGTATGCTTGTTTGCATGTCTACTGTTACCATGACTTATCGATCGTCATCTATCTCATACCATTTAATTGAGACTATTTCTTATGCGTCCAAACACAATATATTCTGCTGTAAATTTGTAAGTAATTGAACATCACGCAGGGTATTTTATGCTACAGCATCAGCTCAAGGTTAGCATAGCGTGAATTGGAAATACCACTGAAATAACAATAAACCAAATGTCGAATCTGTGAATGTTTGTAAGGCCCATTTTGGCAAATGAATTAAAATGAACAGATTATTATTCAACCTAAATAGATCTTCATACGTTATAACTAAGAACCATCTCGATCACGTCAAAAAATCGCATCTTAATAGCTCCTATCGTTTAAAAGCTACGATGCCACAGGGACACAGATATGGAAACAGACGTCTACTTACACGTCTTTTTACACAGGTTGTGCTGACCCCACCGAGGTGGGAGGCAGGAGTATGATGATGATGATGAATTCTTAGATAAATATTTTCATTATTTGTAAGAATTCTGAATTCCCCCTAAACGGCTGGACCGATTTAAAGGAATTTTTTGTGTGCCTTCAGGTCGATTCGAAAATGATTTAGATTCACAATTCGGTTCACTACAATTTTTTGTTTTTTAATATTTTTATTTATAAGGTCTTGTCGGATTTAAGTCGTGTCTACAGGACGTCTGTCGGTTCGGCTAGTTGATATATAATTATATGAACACCCATACAGGTGGTTAAAATATGAAGATAAATTTTAGCCTCAAAAACCTCTTTGTATGAGGAATACAAGCCAATTGTTGTTCATGGCCCTGTATAACCGAGACTGTTACTTATAACTACGGACTAAACTCTATATGCGACATTCGAGTATGTACGAATACCTGCCGTTGCTATTTATTTATGTTTATAACACATTGTTAAATTTTTATGAACTTAACAATAAGTCCTACATGGCAGCTTTACTGATTGTTTTCTAAAATTTCGGCGAACATACCACAAGTACCTTTTTAATATTAACACGTCTTTGTGCATAATTGACCCTTTATTATTTCTTTTACTTATTAGTCAACTAGCGACCCTCCCCGGCTTCGCACGGGTGCAATGTATTATACATATGAACCTTCCTCTTGAATCACTCTATCTATTAAAAAAAATACATCGAGATCCGTTGTGTAGTTTTAAAGACACAGGACAAACATACAGCGGGACGACTTTGTTTTATACTATGTAGTGATGCACAGCAAAGAGACGTTTACATTTCAAGTGACATTTTACCAAAGTCACTCACTTATTTTGCCTTCTCGGAACTCCTCCACTAACACTTAAATTTTATGGTATGGTATTAAAGTTCAATTGACTTTTAAGTATTATTACGAATCTTTTTGAATTAGGTAGTTGCCGTTGACCTAGAATCAAGAAATTTGCAAAAGACCAAGTTTTTACACTCCAAATAAAGGAAATATATAACTATATAATTATTAAAGTTTTCACAGTCATCATACTCTAATTCTTCTAACCATTTCTTGGTAGCTTGTTTCATTTGGAACAAATTCAATTTCTATATTTCATAAATAATTTGAAGAAAATTATACCATTTCCTTGCCAAAGAACATTAATGTAATGTACATATATTTCTTAATTCGTTTGTATCTCTAGGAACATTGCCATTACGTGGTAAGTACTTAATGCATTCAAAATGATTCTATGTAATATCTATTAAATACAGTTTTGAGGCCTACCACAAGGTTGGCCCTTACTAAAGTTGTGTAAGTTTATATAATAAAATTTATAGTCATGTTGCTGTTCAAAGGGATTGGTGGTGTACTATGGTGCCATGAAGAAGTATTTATTCATAAAGAACTAGAAAGTCATTCATTATAACAGGGTTTCACTTAAATATATATACCATCTGGGTTATATTTTTTTTAGGTTCATTGAGTCTAGTCACAGTAAAATTGACAGAGATGGAGAGATGGACCTGTTTAATGTCTTAATTAAATGGAATTTAAAATAATTATTATTTCATATATTTATAAAGTAAAAAAGCAATGTAACAGTCTATATACGTCCCACAGCCGGGCAAAGGCCTCATCTATATTGAGAAGGCTTTGGCTCAGCATACTGCGCCTCTTAGAATTTATCATCTAAAATAATAGAAAATTTAAAGTGTAAGTAGTAAGAACAGTAATAAAATTGGGAAATAAAACAGTAAAGAAAAATAGCAAAATACTCTTATTTCAGTAAAAATTCAGGGCAGTTTTAATCAGTTTACACTTAAATTAACAATAATAGTTTACAGATGTTCTGGTAAAAATAACAAATAAAATAATAAATTATTCATATTTAATCCCAGCACTTATAAAATCAGCAACAACTCTTATTTTGAGTGTTGTATGAACACATAATCTTACTATAAAAAATACTTCACAATATTTAAATACTTTCATAACAAACATCTCTGTTTTTGATTCTTAAAAAAAATAGTTTTTAAGTTATTAATAAAGCAATCTAAATACTCATATACTTTGCCGAGAATTATATCTTGCTTGTGTCTTCCATGGCAACCTAAATAATTATTTTCAGCACACATTTGCTGAAAAAAAATCAGTACAAAATGTGCATGTTTTCACTTAGGAAAAGAAAGTTATACTATAACTAATTCAAATAATTAAATATTTAAATTCATACAAAATCTAATTATCTATTAATAAACTAATAAACATGAAATTAGTCAGACTGAGTTCTTTCAAGAATTAATTGTATGTTATCAAGTGTTTGATATATTATTCGAAAATTAGGGCGGTCACTAGGGTGGTGATTCCAACATTGTTTCATTAAATCATACACACAACGAGGAGTATTATCAGGACATGCAAGCACATTGCCATCTTTTAAAAATCTTACGACTTCTTCATGAGTCATTCCAAAATATGGTTGCAAAGCAAAAGAAAATATTTCGCCAAAGGCACACTCCATATGCCCAAACATCAGACTCTAAAGTATACTTATTATATAAAATACTCTCTAGTGGCATCCATCTTACAGGAATAGCATCATGTTCATCTCCTTTATAATAATCTTGTAAGTAAATTTTATGTGATAATCCAAAATCGGCGATTTTAACAACCATATCATCATTTATAAGACAATTTCTTGTAGCTAAATCACGATGAACAAATTTTCGATCAGACAGGTAGACCATTCCTGAGGCAATTTGCCTTGCTATATGTAGCAAATCTAAATGGCTAAGTGGTGATACAAGTAATCTCAAGTCTTCTCGGTTTTCTACAGTAGGAGGAAATGTAGTAGCTGTACTACAAGCTCTGAGATATTCATTTAAATCACCTTTTCCCATATATTCAAACAACAAACACATTGGACGCCCAATGGCACAGACACCAAGTAACTTCACAATATTTGGATGATCAAAGTCAGCCAGTAAACATGCCTCCCTTTCAAAATCAAGTTGTAAGTCATGAGAAGCTTCATCTTTTAACATCTTTACAGCAACAAGTGTGAATTCTTCTTCTGGAACTAAACCAGGGGCTTTGGCCTGAAACACTCTACCAAAAGCACCCTGTCCTAAATCTTTTATATAAATAATATTATTCCTTGGAAATTCCAGTTTTTCTAATTTTGGATTGAGCTGTGCACCAGTGGTATGGTAAGCTAAGTTACTAGGTAATTTGTCTAAATCAATATCCATATTCTGCATGTTTCTACGACTTGACATACTGAATTTAGAATAATGGCTTTTTAAGAAATAGTGGCACAATAGAGTCACAAATACTATACATAAAATAGTTCCTAAACCAACAATAGATAAAAGTAAAACAAAAGTAGGTGTAAAATAGTTCTCCATTACAATATTTGGTCCTTCTATATTGTCAAATTCTTCACTTGAGTTGGCACACATGGGTATGTCACAATGCTGCCACCTTATATTAGGGTCCATAGTGTAGCACCAGGGTTTTTTTTCTTCCCCTCCAGCATTTCTGCAAAAATTTGTTGAATTCTGAACTTCTGGAAATACTAAAGGAGGTCTGGCATGTTGATGAGGGTATTGCGATGCCCAAGCTTGACATGCTAATCCTTTCTCTGTCATGTTCATTGTTCCTTGGTAATAGCGCCCATTGCCCTTAATACAAGAAGTAGTAACTTGACTGTAGTCCATATCAGTAATACCAGCATTATTACAAGTCACTTCAGTACCCTTACCAGATAGTTTTGGTAATTTTTCACATTCTGGTAATCGAAAATGACCCCTGGTTTCAAAAAATACTCCTCTTCGTTTCTGTTCTTCTATAACAATCCAATCTTTATAACAAAATTGCATTTTTACAGCCATACAGTCCTCGTAACAAAGAGGTAATCCATAAAATCCTATTCCGTCTTTGTCAATGCATTTAGGGAAAGCATAGGCGCATAGCAATTTCTCAGCCCTACTTCTACAAGGTTCTTTAAGTGTGGAAATCATTTCCTTCCAAAGACTAGTAGTAATTTTTTCATTTTCGAGCCCGCCAGTCCGATTGTACCATACATAACCAGTGGTATAATTCTTACAAATTTGCCCATTGTATGGACCGCAATAAAGATGCACTGATTTTGCCACAAGAAGCACAATAATTATTGTACAACACACCTTCATCGTTATGAAATTGATAGTATTTCGATGTACCTATTGTTCGATCGTTGCATTTTAACTTTAAACTATGTACAACATGTAAAAATACCACACTGACTGCACAATGGCGGACGCATTATTTATTATTGATTTTAGTTAAATTGTCTACAAGTAAAATAAGCAACAGAGAAAGAAATTGTCACAGATTACTGCAGCCAATATAATCTGAATTCTGAATACAGTAATACACTATCGGATTCGGATGCATATAGAATATACAGAAAGAATTTACAAGAGTAGTGTACGTCTATTCGGATACTTTGCAACATTTGTTTGATAAAAAAATAAATGAGAATAAAAACTGCATTTCTGGATAACATCTTACAGAAAATCTAATATAATTCAATATACTTAATATTGTAATCGTTTGAAAGATTGTTTGTTACTACGAAATAGAAAAAAAAGTTAAATAACAAATTCTTTTCCTTTCTTGTATATATTTATGAACTGGCAATATTTTCGTTTAAAATGTTGGTAGAGTTAAGTTACGGATGTGACATTGAGAGAAAAAAAATCGATTAAATATTAATCGATTTTGTAAAATAATTTAATCAGAAAAAATAATAATCGATTTTTGAAAAAAATCGATTATTTTCTATTATTCTTAAAATCCTGCAATAAAACTTAAAAGACAAGTATAGTGTTCACAGTTACCAGAATCAAAATCAAAATGAGTAGTATAAAAAATAACCTTAACGACAACATTCTGATTTCATAACAAAAATACATTATGAACACCAACATATTAGAAATTCCTGCTTTACTGTGTAAATACATTAACTTATTCACGAGCACTAAAACTGTTCGCTGAAAGCATCAATATGATGGGTAAGCACTCTTAACGGGATAAACAAACAATGTTAGAATTAATATTTTTCTGGTTATTTCTTGTCAAAATAAAATATTTATATATTTTTTTAATTATGGAATGCTTAATTAACATAATGTCAAAGTATGTACTTAGTCTAAAAAAATCACCCTGTCTACATAGATGGCTATTAACAAAAGTCGTTTAAAAAGTTAATTTGATATAATCGATTTATCAAAAATCGATGATTATTATTTAAAAAATGATTTTTAAAAATCGATTACAAGAATAAAAATAATTGATTAATATTAAAATCGATTATTTTTTCACATCCCTAAGTTATGTTCGAGCTATCATAGTGTTTGTAGTTGTACGTTAAAATATAAAAAGCCGAAGTATTACCTGTTAATGGCGGCAATCGAGAAAGTAAAAGTGGTTGTATTAGGTGACTCCGGTAAGTACGTCTTCATTACATTTGCATTTTGCGCTTGAAACACTGGGCTGTTATAAATAATAAACAATTACGCTAACCAACACTTTACAAGTTACCTTTTGTCAACTTGACTGAGGCCATGACACTTCAAGTTAGGCAACATTCAAAATTAGAACATACTTTTGGCAGTGTTTATCGAACTTTGCTAATATTTATTATTTAATTCACTTTCAGGTTAACTATCTTTCCTTTGTACTTGTAGGTTGTGAATTTAAATGTAAAGTAGCTAGGTAGTAGGGCGTTGGAAATTTATAGTTTTATAGGTATTGCCTCTTCAAATTGCTTCCATTTTAATATTTAGTGCGGTTATATTATATTGTAACATATTTGTTTTTATACTTTTTCTTTTAGGAGTTGGAAAAACTTCGTTGACTTATTTAATAGCGCATAATAAACCACTAATATCGCCAGGATGGACAGTTGGTTGTTCTGTAGAAGTGAAATTGCACAGATACAAAGAAGGAACACAAGCACAAAATACCTTCTTTGTAGAACTTTGGGATGTTGGAGGTTCTAATGGGCATAGGAATACTAGGAATGTTTTTTATCAACCAACTCATGGTATATTTTTGTAAAAAAATAGTAGAATAAATATTACAATGCTTAATAATAACAATAACAAATTCAAGTGAATGAATGATTTCAGGTATAATATTAGTACATGATTTAACTAATAGGAAAAGCCAAGTTAATTTGCAGAAATGGCTCACTGAAATTTTAAATCAAGATGGCTCTAATCCTACCTTACAACAAGTTGATGTGGACCCAGAACAATTTCTGGGATCAACTCAGGTAACAAGTAATATTGTTCTCAATAGAATTTATATAAATTTGCTTAGTATTCCTCGCTCTTCTTAAAGTTAAAAAAGCTAATCTATAAAGAAGCTAATAAGAAATATAGATGAAACTGTTTTGTATTATTATTATTAGTTAAGCTTGTAAACTGGCGTGTATAGTTATCTCACATTAATTGGATTGTTTATGATAGATACCAATTCTGGTCATAGGAACTAAATTTGACTTAGCAGAAGAAAAACAAAGGAAAAATCAATATAGAAGACTATCCAGTAGTATTGCAGAGCAGTGTGGGGCCGATGAAATCTTTGTCAATTGTTTTCAAGCAAGGTAAATGGTTAAAATATTTTGTAAGTTTGAAAGTAAAGTGAAGAAACAGCCTATACATGTCCCACTGCTGGGCAAAGGCTTCCTCTGTACAGAGGGTAAGTTTGAAGTGAATCGAAAATTTGTTTGTAATTTGAAACTCGATGAAACAAAAATTAGCCTGTGTGTAGGCTTGCATATGTATAGTTACATATATAATTTTTTATATACATATGTGTGTTACAATACTTGCTCTGTTAGGAGTATTCTATGTGTGTATTCACCTGCATATTAAAAATGTTTAGTAAGAGGCCAGTGCAAAGTATTGTTTGTGTATTTTTATTTGTCTGAAATCTCCTTAACAAATTTTGCAAAAATATACAAATTTTTTGTAGAAATATAACAAGAAGTATAACTTACAAGTATTCCTCTCTTGATACTCTTCTAAGTTCATCTCATTCTCTCATAGGTTAATTCTCTGAAGTTCATTTTTACACTATGTGAATTGCAAACACATACTTTTTATAGCTAAAGTCAATACATTTAATTGGTATTATCAATGATTAACTAATAAAACTATTCCAGATCACTTGCCCCTGGTACCAGTAATTCTGTGAAGTTAACTCGATTTTTTGATAAGGTAGGTATAACTATATTTATGTCAAGCCAAATTTTAACAAGTTTTATATTTTTTTCATTAGTGATTTTTCTCTACCAAGTGAATTTTTTTGTTAAGTCCAAAAACACCTGGTGCTAATGAAAAATTTTATCACATTTAATTATGAACATAAAATATCTAGCGATTACTACTAGTAGGAAGACCTAGATTTATAAGAAAATGTATATCTAATATCTAAATGGAAAAATAATGTATCTTATAAATCATTGTCTTCCTACTAGTAATTGCTAATTTGCTATGGATACATATCATTAATCGTAAAATCCAAATATAAATCTTAATGGTGTAGAACACACAGGCACATAAAATAAAACCACTTTTTGTTCCATCTTAATATAAATCATATTAAATACTTTTTTTAATTTAAAGTCTTGACAGGAGAGATGTGACATTGTTAATTAAGTTTACTCTTTCAGGTGATCGAACGTCGATATTATTCACGAGTAAGCCCATTTTCAGATAAAAGGGGTATACCCCCCTACATTATGGCAACATCTACACCTTTATCTAATAATAGACCCGCGCAATATTTAAGTCCACGTTTTTATCACATGGATTAAGTTTAAAAAAAATATTTTTAGAAAGTGTTATGTTATATTAAATTTTAGGGCTTTATGAAAGCAAAATAAATAAGTTATGACTATGAAATGTAATAATGATTTGTATCCGATATTTATCCAATTATTATTAAATAATTTTAAATAGATAAAAAAGCAACTTAAGTACATTGTCGCTTAAACATTAAATTTAATATGGAGATAGAAGGAACCAAAATAAAATTATGAATTTCTAAAATTATTGCATATTTTTTGAACAATTCTACAGAATATTCTCTACAAAGCCCAAACTCGTACATAGTCAACTTTCAAGGAAGCATCTTGACCATCATTAACATTTAAATTCCAAGTCGGCAACCACCCTGCTTGTCCATTCCAAAAGTCAGTAGCTGCCTAAAATTAAAAGTTTTCAAATTAATATTACGTTTTTAAATTAAATAAAAGTTTTTAAATTAATTATAATCATTTTTAAACATGCAAAATAATTATTAGTCTTCATGTTATTTTTTTTATATTCTGGCAGCCTAAGGACATACCGAGCGTTGTATTCCACTGGTATAAATATAGTTACAATATACTATAGCACAGTTACAAGGAATGTTATTAATTGTCCATCCTGACATTAAACCCTTGCAATTTCGTCATATCACGTTACTGTCTGTTCATCAAAAGGTACCACATTTAAACTTGAAAAAAGAAGTAAAGATGTTATCATTTAAAGAACCGTTTACGACTGCACCGACAACGGATGTTAACTGAAGTAGGGGGTAATCATCAATAATTAATTGTTCATCTACATGTTCCGTGACTGTAACGCCTTTTGGATAGGATATAAACAAGGTAAGTGAGAAAATCGTTCCCCTGTTCTTTTTCAAAATTCTATTTAAATCAATTACAAAAAATGTAGACACGTATGAAAGTTAATAAATCATTTATAAATAATAATCTCAAATTTATTTTATGGGTAAATTATAAATGTAATGGCACATAATATAGTATATTAGACCAGATATTCTGCACTTACCGTCGGTGAACCATTCCACCATGGCTTAGGATTAGGATTTGAAACACCATCAGGAAAGAATCCATTGGTGCCGCCAACGGCCAAGTTGATTATGATGTAGAACTGAAAACCAAGTTAGATTACTTGAACGAAAACAAGCGTTCCTGTCTTGTAAGTGATGTAGTTGGGGCCCATTTTATTATAAAGTGGCAACGCATTTGAAACCCTACGGATTTTGCAAATATCACGAATCAGCTGTAGTTGGTGCACAAATGGGCAGGCTCGTCCGGAGAAGTATCACAACTTTACACAAGACTGGTATAAAGTGGAAGTACCGGGATCTCCTCCTTTTAAAAATAGAGCAACGCATATTGCATGGGTATTGCAGATGTCCGTGGGTGGCGGTCACACTTAAGATCTGTTGAAACGAACGCATTTGCACTCAAAAAAAGGGTTGTGTGTGGAAATGTCACCTACTGGACATCGAGATTCGCTGCGGACAAAACTGCCCTGGAAAGCGGATGTACCTTGTTGTGCATTATGTTGGTTTCGCCGTGTTCGTAGAGAAGGACGAACTAATTGGGTCTTAGTACACTACCTATGTATAGGAATATAAGTTATACCTGTTACTAATAACATCATAAGAAACAACCTTATTATATGCCATTGAATGTTTATTTCAAATTCTTTCACTAGTAAGTATTATCGATTTAAACTTTGTAGTATCTTTTAACGTTTACACATTTTTCACAATGACGTGTGAGATAAAATTCTTTGTATTTTTATTGACTGCTTTTTTAGTACTTACAAAAAATAGTGATAATGAAACAAAAAAAAATAAAGTTCTCAAACACATTTCGAGAGCATTTTATTCCTCTTTGTATATCAATTACATAACTTCAAATAAAAATACTTATTTGAAGTTATGTAATTTATCTAAAACTTTTACATGGTTTTAAATGAATGGCAGGTAACACTATTATTTAGTGTAACTCTTATTATTTAGTGTAACTCATGAACTCACCTTCTGATCGAACGGAGCCATCTTTGACCCATAGCGCCATGGATTTTCTACATTGTTATTGTTGAAACCGCCCAGCTCCCAGAAACCACCGTTACCAGGGGTTACTCGACCCAGCTCCACGTCGTCAATGCTGAACCTCAAGAAATCTAAAATTGCAAAAAAAAAAAAACGTTTTCGATTTCAATTTAAAATGGTTTATGTATTTAAATCGAATGGAAAGGATTAGTAAAGAGAACTAAAATGTGTAAATGAAATTATAACAATATGACTAACCCGCTAAGCTAAGCGGTTGGCATACTCAGCGCAAGGAACGTTTATTGCGGTTCGTTCTTCGTTTGAATCAGTTTTACAAAAACAAGATCATCCATCTGAAATTCTTACCGGGGTAAGCAGAGTTAATAAGAGCTATCCCCATATTTTTTCGAACTAACAAGGCCTCGAAACGTACACTAGGCACGATTCTGAGGTTTATTTTTACTTCTTATGATTTATAAAGTCATATACTTAACCTGAGTGAGTGTACATTACAATAATACCACATATTTTTATTTACCTGATACCATCTATCACTTATTTTATTTGATTTACCAGGAGTCCATTCCAGTTGATAACGATGGAAAGATTTGTCGTAACCGGCGCTGTTCCTTCGCACCCAGTGCGCTCGTTCCCAACCATTTAGGCCAGGGTAAGGTCCAAAATGCAATGTGGAGCCGGCCTCCTGCGTTCCAATGTGTACACCATTTTGGAACATATTACGGTTGCCCCGGGACTCCACTAAGTCAATCTCGCCTGACGCAGGCCATGTGCCGTAAGAATTGTGAGCAGGCATCAACCAAATAGCTAAAAAGAAATAGATTAGAACTCTTTGCCTTTTAGTAAGATGATGCAAAAACTGTTCATTTAATTATGGAAAATTTGCTATTGTATGAGTTTTGTAAAAATAGACTGCATACCTACCAGGCCAAAGCCAATCGCCGGCAGGCATTTTGGCTCTGACTTCTACACGCCCATAACGAAAACTGAAAGAGTTGACTGTGCGAATGCGTGCGCTTTTGATCGGGTTCAAAATGTTCGTTGGTGTGCCGCTACGTTCACAGCCATACCATTGAGGGTTTGTGCATCTGTTGTTAATTTTTTTAGTTATATAGTGATAATTTTATTGGTGCCTCATCGGGTCGCCGTCGTGCCAGCTACGTACGAAAGTTTATTAATATTATCTACTTACTATTTATTTCAAAAAGCACAGAATTTTTTTCGAAATCTACCTCTAAAATAAAATATTTTTTTATATGTTTTGGTTTTTTCCAATTTGGACAACTACGAAAGTAAATCTGTTATCCTGTAGTTTTTGAAGTCTTATTTTTAAGTTTCATTTATATTATTAGTATTTTCGAAAAAAAAAAAAAAAAAAAAAGATGTTATTAAATGTAATATTTTCTTCATTACAATCACGAGTCACGCGATATTTACGTTGAATCTCACATTTTTAAAATTAAAGGTATAATCTATTAATATCTGTGTATATTCCTATATAAAGTACTTTTGCTTCTTTCTCCCAGGGTCGACTGGAAAAGAATGCTATCGAGCATTAAGTTTGGCTTTTGTGTAGCCTTAAGTTAGGGTGTATACAATATTTTTTTAAATAAATAATTAAATTTTATAAGTAGCTAATTCATCGTCGCTTATTCAAATCTATACGAATTAACCGCTAGTTATCCGACATCCCTTGAAAATCTTTTATTAATAACACCTTACGTATATACCTGACGTCATATAGTGTCTATAGCCTAAAGATAACGTGAAATTATGACTCGGTAATCTTATTATTAAATTACATAATTATGATTAAATCTTAACCATTTGCTTAGTTTCCATCTATTATAAAGTAAAATTACTCCACGATTAAAACATTAGATTAGAGCTCAAAGTAGTCTAGAAATAAAGGGGGCAATTATTATTTAATAGACGAAATGATGTTTTACTTTGCAAATAACTTAGAAATATCCAATTTTAGAAAAGTTATCTGTAAAAAATGTTCACTTTTAAATATCCTGTTATTTTTTTATTATAACGTTTGTATAATATGAGTATTTATTGCTATTATTGCCCGAATGTGCGTGCACTGTTTGCAAGAGATAACGGAATTTTTCTTAGCCGTTAATAAATGTTACTGAAGTTGACAATGTAAGGACACATGACATTAGCACTTGCCTGTCTGCTGGAGCACCTCCTTCAACATTAAGGCGACCACTAGTAAGAAAAGATTGTCCAAATTGATCTGATGTTAGGGAAGGACGAATGAATAGAAGTCCACTGTGAGTGAATGAGTTAGTACGATTGTTGTTGTAGTATTGGAATTCCCAGTTCTAAAAAACATAATATTAAATAATTTTAATATTCGATTAAGGTACATTTATTTCAATATCATATAGGTCAAGCTCAAGACCCAGCAAGTGATTACCCTCTAATGGAAATTTCCTCAATCAACAGACTAAGTGAGTTAGTATAAATAAATACTTCTACTTTATTGTCCTTTTTGAGACTATTGCGTAGCTTTAAAAAGTATAGGTAAACAGTTACTTTGATACTAGTTAAAAAAAGGCCAGAAATGGTTTTAGAACACGGCACCAAAATTCACCTCGTAAGCTAACATTTTAGACAAAAATCTATCAAATTTAGTAAGAACTCAAATTCGACAGATACAATAGTTTATAACCGAAAGGCATACTTACGCCGCCACCTGCAAGCGTATTTTCGTGTTGCCATTTCTCCAGATCGAACTCTTCGAAGTCGTCCGCGAAGATCATAGCTCCTGAGCATACAGTGACAGGAGCGTGGGTACCGCTCACCGTCGTGATGCTGGGAGTGCATGCTTGCGTGAAGGCGGCAAGAGCCAAGACGCCTCCTATTAATGTCCACATTCTGCTCCGTGGAAGAAGAAAATTGTTTCTTATCTTCACTTAGGTACTACTCTGGACTGTATGTAACAAATATATAGATACCACGATATTATGTATTTAAATTGCACATAACAGGAAAACTGGTAATAACAGTATCGCCGCGGCCGATTTCTCAGAATAGCATATGTATACTAAAAATTAAAAGCTGGTTTGCCATGATGTCATAGATTTCGTAATAATTACACTACAGATAGTAATTATATTTGCTCTTGTTTGTTGAATGGCAAGATATTTGTCAAAAAAATTGATCCACGAAAATGATCTTTGGATGGTTACCACATGCGTATTTGTATATATTTTTTAATAAATTCTGCGTATTGTTTAATTAAGTATCGAGATACACAGAGAGCGCGATATTTGTTAAATACACGAATTAAACTATACACATCTATAATGCTTACGTAGACATTTTTTGACAAAATTTTGGGAATATGAAGTGCCACCTTAAGTGATATTTTAAATGAATGGTCAAAGTTTAAACCTACCTAGTACAGGAACGAAAAAAAAACGATTTTACAAAACCATTTGAGTATTTATACCTTTTTTATTTAACGATAATGATAAGAATGTGATAAGGGTTTAATAAAGTAGTGAGATATTTAGTACAAAGATTATTATGTTTTATTTAGGTATTGACGCAGTGATTTGTGATAAAATTTAATATCTATAAACACGTAAAACTTGATTTATTATGAGTCTTGCCGTTACTACCTTGTCTTTTTATACTTATCGTACATTCTTTCTTCACCATTCCGTCTTCTAGCCTTCTTTAAAGAACTGTCGATAGGATTTTTCAAAATCAATGCCCATATAAGTTCGTAATTTAAGTCTTCGGTTCCAATCCCGTGCACCCTCGGACAGTGCATTCGAGATTACGCCAACCTACGATACATTCGTATCGTAGGTTGGCGATACGAATGTATCGTACAACATACGATACATAGGCAATTATTATATTAACGAGACTAACGAGCGTAATAAATAATTTAATTCTCCCGCAGCCGTCAAACTGCGCTTCGGTGCAATACATGATGTCGCCAATCCGCAATGGGGCCGTGTGGTGGACTATGCCCTGATATCTGTACAGAGGAGGCCTTTGCCTAGCAGTGAGACATGTATAGGCTTGATACTTTACTTTTTTTTACAAATATTGACTTGAAAGCCGTCCTGTATTGTAGATAGCAGGATAATAAGCAGAAATAAAAGATCATATCGCCTATCGATAAAAAAATCAAGAAATAGGCAGAAAGGTTAAAAAAAGTGTTTATTTGGGAACTGTAGATAAGGAACGTTAGTGATGAAAATTATGATTCAAAACATTTGGCATACGCTCCATTGTTTCATTTTTGCATTGTGTCAATCATTAATTGTCAGGAGAGTCCGCTTGGCCCCCCCTTTTGCAATATTTCTGTTTGATCCAATTAAAGCATTTGTTTGCTACCCTTGATCACGTATTCTTTAACAAATAAGGAACTCGTAGATGATGTTAAAGGATTATATTCGGTGAAAGAATATTTTCCTATTTACAATTTGTTATTTTTATGTCTTATTACAGTTACCTCTATATAAACAACGGTTGTCATGGTTGTCCCAAAAGTCGGGACATAGATTAACTAAAATAGATGTAAGAAGTCTCATTACTTGCTCTGCATAAAGACTTCTTAACATTCACCTCCCTTTTGAGAACAACCAGCTTGTTTCATTAAATCATGTAGTCTTTCTCTTAAAGAGAGGCTTTGTTAGGCAGTCCGCTAACTGTTTCTTGGCTTCTATCTTCTCAATAACCAAGTCATTGGATAGGACACACTTACGGACAAAAAAATGTCTTAATCTAATGTGTTGTCCGGCTATGTCGTTCTAAAGGCGGGTCATGAGCTAGTCTTATGGCTGCTTCATTGTCCAAAAACAGTTTGGGTATAATTTGTTTTTGGTTTCCTTCCATGAAGACAATTATTCTCTTTAACCACATGATTTCCTTTGCAGCTTCACTGGCAGCTATAATTTCTGCCTCAGTTGGCGATATGGCTACAGTGGTTTGTCTCTTGCTTTGCATACAATAGCACTTCCAGCGTAATTACGAATCATGCCACTTGTCGATCTTCCCGTAGAGTTATGGCCTCCGTGATCTGCATCGCTGTAGCACATTAACCCTTCACAACTGTTAGAACATTTGTAAATAATTCCAAAATCTGTAGTGCCTTTTATATAGCGCAAGATACGTTTCACTTTACGTCTTCTGATGTGGGATTGTCCAGTTTTCGTGACACCACTCCCACGGCATAGGCGATATCAGGCCGGGTTTCGACCATCAGATAGGAGAGTGCACCAACTGCTTGACGGTAAGGAAAGTCTTGATGGTAATCTTTGGACTGATGGTCTTTTACAATTGGAGTAACGGCTGATTTACAGTCCTCCATTCTAAAACGTTCAAGAAGTCGCTTTGCATATCCTTTTTGATTTATCAGGATGGGTCCATCATGAACAGATATGCATCTGTTCTTCTATTTATTTCGATTCCAAGAAAGTAGGAACCGTCTTTAGTTGTAATTTTGAAATGATTTCTCATTTCTTCAAGAAACTTTTCAGCCTCTTCTTTGCTTGCAGCCGCTAATAGCCCGTCATCTACATATAAAACTAGTAACTTCCCCTCGCCTTATTTAAACAAACAGGGATCGCTATCACATTGTTTAAAACCTATCTTCAGGATGTTTGCTGTTATTGTAGAGTTCCAGCAACGGGGGGCTTGTTTCAAGCCATATAACCTTCGTTTTAATCTGCATACTTTTCCATTACTGGGATATCCTTCAAATGGTTTCATGTAGATTTCCTCTTTCAACGTTCCACATAAAAATGCTGAAACATCAAATTGTGATAACATAAGGTAACATGATAACATAAGGTTTTCGCGAGCAGCAATACTCAGTAGAGCTCTTACAGTGCTTAACTTTGCAACAGGACTGAATGTTTCGTTATAGTCTATTCCTTCCTTTTGGGAATAGCCTTTAATAACAAGACGTGCTTTGTATTTATCAATGGACCCGTCAGCATTCATGTTGATTCTGAAAAGCCATTTGCATGGAATAGCTTTTCTTCCTTTGGGTAGGTCTACCAATTCCCAAGTTTCATTTTCTTTCAGAGAATTGATTTCGCTTTCCATTGCTTTACGCCATTCAGCAGAGTTTCTGGCACTCATTGCCATTTTGAATGTTGTTGGTTCTATGAGATGTTCGTCAGTGTAACAGACATTGCACACGAAATCTGTATAACAAGCCGGTGGTTTTAGCCTCGACCGGTCTCTTAGTGTCATGCGGCTTTCAGCTTCAAGTTCAGCATCTGACAGTTGAGAATTAGACCTATCTTCTAGTTCAGGAAAGTTCCATTATCATTCTCATGAGTGTCCAGCATTTCTACATGATCTTCCGTCTCATAGAACATCTCCTCATTTATTTCACTTTCTTCCAGATGCGTATAACCGAGTCATCACAATGGCTAGACGATGATTCTTCGATTGCTTGTTCAACTTGTTGAATAGGTGACGTGTCAATCGATTGAGCATTCTGGCTAGACGATGATAGATGGCTTTCATTGGATTAAATTTTAGGTAATCCAAAATTAAATTGATTTAGAGGCTTGTTCTGATCTTTGTTGCTTAAGGGAGCGGGGATGTTGCTGACCTCTGTAACATGACTCGAACTCTCATCTCGTTGAACGTAATGTCTCTTGATCGAGTGAGTTTAAAAGTTTTGGGATTCCAAACACGATAACCATCGTCAGAGTCATATCCAATTAATATTCCCTTATAAGCCTTCTTATCTAATTTCTTTCTTCGCTGTTTTGGAACATGAGGATAGCAAGCAGAGCCTATTATTCTTAGGTGATGAATTCTTGGCTTCTTGTTAAGCCATAATTCGTAGTGTTTTTCCTTCGACAGTTGTAGGTCCTGTTCTGTTCAGGATATACACCGAGGTTTGAATCATTTCCGCCCATAAAGCTGGAGGTATATTGGCATGTGCATGCATTAGACTTCGCGCCATTTCCGCAACGGTCCTGTTATCCCGTTCAGTAGGGTTTTGTTGTGGTGTATAGGGCATGGTCAGTCGCTGCTGAATGCCTTCTTTGCTGAGAATAGCGCGCACTTTGCCATTGTCAAATTCGCCGCCGTCATCGCTTAACAGCTGTTCAATTTTGATTCCAGCAGTTTTCACTTCAGCCAGCATCATTGATAGTTTGGGGTGTACTTCCGCCTTTTCTCGCAAGAAATAAACAAATCTGTATCGGGTGTAATAAAAAGTGAAAAAAAGTGTCTTTGAAGAGGACAAAGTATCTTAGATTCCTGACTGAGAATGGAAAGGGTCCACAAACGTCAGCATAAACCAGTTCTCCGGGTCTAGTTTCTTTATCTCTGGTTCCGAATTTCAGTCGGTGGGATTTACCATAGATACAGCCTTCACAGAGATCCTTGGTGACTGTTGTCTTAATGTTGAACTCTTTTTCCATCAACTTTTTAACATGACTTTTGCTTTGGTGACCGAACCTTTCATGATATAGCTGCAACAAATTCGGCGCTGTTGGCAGCTGGTTCACTACAGTTGGCTTAATGCATCTCAGTTTAAGCTTGTACAATCCTCTAAATTTTTCCCGATTTCCAATAAGTTTTATCTTTCCATCCATTTTTGTGCAGTAGATTCAAAAATACTGCTATCCGAACGGTCATGGGTAGCAAGGACTGAAAATAGGTTTCTGCTAATTGATGGAACGAACCAGACATCTTTAAGAAGTATCTTTTCAGGTTTTCCATTTATGTCAGCTTCAGCCAGTATATCACCAATGCCTATTGCTTCGATGCACTGACTATTGGCTCCGGTAATCGTATGTTTGTTGTTGAAGTAGGTGAAGTTTTGGGTCGGAACGATTGGTGATGTGTGACGTCACTCCATTGTCCATGAAACAATGTTCATGATCCATTCCATTAAAAGCTCCATTTGTTCACAGACATTGCTGTAATGGTAATGCTTGCTGCGGTGGACTCCTTTGGAAGTTTTCCATCTGCACTCCATTTTCTACAATTTATCTTCCGGTGGCTTTTCTTTTTGCAGTAATCACATTTCAAGTCCTTGCGTTTCTTATTGTTGTTAGAATTATGCCTTTTCGGGTTTTACGTATAAGGCTTCTGCATGTGAAGAACCGTCGTGTTGAACTTGGTCTTCATTGTTCCGCAAGATACGTTCGTGGGCGCACAGCTGGCTAGTGAGATTTTCTATGGTACGCTGACTTTTAGAAATCATTAACCAACTTGATTTAACCAACAAAATTTTACAAATGAGCAGTATCTCAGGGGGTTTTGCTTCTGATTGTAGTTCCTGGCACAATTCGCTCCAGATGTTCTTCAGTGCGGAGACGTGAGTTACGATATCGTGACCGGACTCCTTCTTATATCCGAAGAACTTTAGGCAGAGATCGTAGGTCTTGTCGACACAACTTCCTCCAAAGAGACGTTCAAGTTTATCCCACATTAACTTTCCATCTTTAAATCGTAGAACTTTTTGTAGAATTTCATCGGACATGTTCGTTGTAAATAACAATAACCGTGCTGCGTTAATTTTTTTGAATTCTTGTAAATCCATTTCGTATTTTGCCATTTCTGTAGGCAGCTTACTTGACGGCAGGGTTGGCTTCGTCTTCTGGCCATCGACAAGTTCCATGCAACCCGGCGGCATAGTCTGGAGCACAACTAGGATTTTGTATTTCCATATTTTGTAATTTTTGTCACCCAGTGAGCCAATATGGATTTTTGCGACATTCACTATCGTTTGATCCATTTGGAAAAAAACAATGAAAAAAAAATTCAAAAATTTTGTTACGCTGCGATATTTTCTTGAAAAATGAAAAATATTTTATGTTCGCTACAAACTACGCTCTGCTACCACTTTAACAAATGAGGAACTCGTGGATGATGTTAAAGAATTATATTCGGCGAAAGAATATTTTCCTATTTACACTTTGTTATTTTTATGTCTGATTACAGTTATATGACGTTACTAAATAAATACGGTGGTAGGGCCACGCAGCAGCCTCGGCTGTTGCACGAATGGGCAGGCCCGTCCGGGTAAGTACCACGACCTCACAGAAGACCGGCGTAAAGTGGAAGTATGACAAATACTTTCGCGTTTCGTCTGGTGAGTGAGGTAGCCGGAGCCCAATTTTCAAAAGGTTGTCAACGCATCTGTAACCCTCGAGTGTAGCAGATGTCCATGGGCGGCGTATTCACTAAACATCAGGTGAACCGTCTGCTCGTTTGACAACTTTTCGCATAAAAAAAAAAAAAAAAAAAACTAAATATTAAATCATTTCAGTGATATATGCCATCAACGCCAAAGAAGTTTTACTTCAATCGCGCGTAAAGGTTACACGCACGCACTTTTTTTTATGTCCAACTGTTTGAAGTCGTTAAGTGGGCAATAACTATATGGTTTACCCTACCTTCTTAAAATAAATGTCCTCTTTTAAGACCTTCGAACCGTTTAGACATGAGAAAGTACCTATGTATATGTATAGCTTACATCGGCTGTTCAGTAATGATTGTAATTGATTTCCACGAAAGAATGAGCCGGTTGTGAAGACTACGTTCAAGACGGTGGTAGGGCCACGCAGCAGCCTCGGGTGGGGCACGAATGGGCAGGCAAGTCCGGATAAGTACCACGACCTCACAGAGAACCGGGGTAAAGTGGAAGTAAAATACTTTCGCGTTTCGTCTGGTGAGTGAGGTAGCTATAGCCCAATTTCCAAAATTTTGTCAACGCATCTGGAAACCTCGGATATCGGCGACGGTATTCACTTAACATCGGGTGAACTGTCTGCTCACTTGGCAACTTTTCACATAAAAAAAAGGAAAGATATTACATAATACATTTTAATCGTGTAAAGTGGGGATTAAAACCTAATTACAAAGAAATTAGAGTGGATGCACTGTAATTTATTTCTTTATTTAATTATAATTATTAGGTACTAGGCCAGACATAATATTAAATGTCATGATAACTGAATGTGTACATTTTATGTTTAATAAACTGTGATAACTGAAACTCGAAAGCGGAAAAAAAATATACTAAAATGAAGTACAACGACAAATTTTGTCAAATTTAACATTTGTAATAACGGAAATTTTGGGATAGAAAAATTATAAAATGTGGTGGTAAATCAGATATAAAATAAGTAAAAATTCCAAGGTTTTGCAATGGGGAAATAGTAAGTTTCAATATAATTTTTTCTGCAGCTATTAAATATTGAAATGTCATAGATTTTCCATGATACATTTTATAATAGAAAAACCCTTAAATAGTCTTCATGTAAAATAATACCCAATTTTATTATATTGAGATTATGATAATGGAGTGGGCTTGAAACAGCTTTAAATACTATTATTAAACTGACTTAATTTAATTTACAAATATGAGTATTATTACGTAATAATACTCGCATTACACGTGTAATTACTTGGTACTGTTCTTGCAGATGGCGAATAAAGCAATATTTATATTAAGTAGGCTTCTGCCTATAACTAAACCTTTTGGTATTGCTCAACAGTCGGTTAAATGCATTAGTTATAACACGAAACAAAATTTAATTTCCCCATGCAAAACAAATTTCACATCCAGTATTTCATATATTAATCCAACTGCTTCGGTAAATTTCTTGCAACTGCACCCGGACAGGAATGAAAAATTGAAGTTATTACGTCAGTCAAAGTTCTCGTTGCAACTACTTAAAGCGTTTCCAAAAACATTTACATTTCGTCGAAAAGATCCACCAGATAAAAGAAAGAAACGCGTTCCCAAATTAATACTACTTCAGAATCCCTTTAAGTGGTTAATGATAAAAATCGATTTTCGAGTGCTGAAGAGTGTGTGGGACCCATCATTTGTGGAAAAAGAATTTAAATATGGTACAAAACAGGTAAAGAAAAATGATAGCTATGATTAAATTCTAACTAGCATAATAGCTCAGTTAACTAAAGAAGCTTCGGCTTCATAAGCTAACTGAAGATTAAATAAAATTTCGCAAACTTGTAATAATCACCAGCACGTTAAGAATGTCGCATGTCAAGTCGATAATTCCATAACCTTATTAACGCATGGGCACACAAAGTTTGGGGACCTTTGAATGAAAAAATTTATAAAAATCATATATGCGTCTTTTATAAAGTATTTCATATCATCCATTGCTACGAATACTAAAAATATAATTTATGTTTTTACAAGGATCTTTGTAAAACATAATTTATATTTATTATGCGTTTTTAGGGTCCGTACCCAAACGGTAAAACGGGACCATATTACTATAGGACTTCGCTGTCTGTCTGTCCGTCTGTCACCAGGCTGTATCTCATGAACTGTGATATTTAGTTGAAATTTTCACAGATGATGTATTTGTATTACCGCTAAAACAACAAATACTAAAAAACAATAAAAAATAGTGTGGGGCTCCCAAACAACAGACATGATTTTTTGTCATTTTTATAGATGGTACGGAAACCTTTTTACGCGAGTCCGACTCGCACTTGGCCGTTTTTTTTAGTGCATGGAAACACATAGTTTGAGGACTTTTAAATGAAAAATATGCTTCCTTCATAAAGTACTTCATAACATTCAAATGCGACGCATACTAAATATAAATTATGTTTTTAAAACGATGCATCCTTATCAAGGACAAAAGTCGTGAATACTTTTATTTATTTATTAAGTGAAAAATACAATATAAAATGTTTTTTCGCCAAATTGTGAAACAATTTATCGGCGACACATTACAATAATTGTCACTTAAATAACCACTTAGTTTTGTGTTTGAGAGATCAATTTGAAATGGGTATACAGGCGATATCCCGAGTGACTCAAGTAATAAGCGATGGTAATTACGAAGATCTGAACGGTCTTCTAACTAAACCGGCCCGCTTGAGTTTGCTGCGAGAACTGGAGCGCAATTGGAACGGTCGGCATCGAGGCTTGTTAGCACTAAAACATGAAGATATACAAGTATCTTCGCCACGGAAAGTGTATTTCATACGGATTGCTGGTACGTTACGTACGCAAAAATTGTTTAACTACTCTGGATGTTTTTATTTATTCATTCTTACTTGTCGTAACTTACTCCTATTTCAGATAAAAAGTTTTGCGACGTTGATATGTCTTTCCTGGCGCTCAAATGGGTAACGATAAATAGCATAGACTCGTTGATTTTCACCGAAATCTTCGCGAGATTTCATCGTGAATACACTCCGCACTGTATCCCGGAGTGGACAATCGCTTATTTCAAAGTGACTCGATTTGAAGTTTTACGACGCTAATAAACCAGTTTGTATTAAAATTTTTAAACGAACATTTTTATTAATAATATTTCGTACAGACCGTAAAGATTTCAACGGTATAAAAATGTAAAAAAAAACATTTTAACAGCAGTATAGTAATTCTATGAACACAACAATAAAAACAAAGAAAAAAACTATAAATCTAATAACAACTTGTAGGGATCTTCGAGATATTGTTTTAAATTGTTCGAGAATTTTGCCATCGTTACTCCATCCACCACCCTGTGATCCGCTGACCAGCTCACAGTTAGGATATGAGTCTTGACCACGTCACCATTAGAATTAAATCTCGGTAATACCTGCAAAGTTATAACCTGTTTAAAAATTGTGTTCGAGTTATAAAATAGTGACAGGCAATGCTTTATAAATTGCTAATTCTAGTATAGAGTTGCAGGTGTTAATGGGCGGCGGTGGACACTTACCATCAGGTGAATCTCCTGCCCCTTTGTCCTTTTTCTCAATAAATAAAAACAGGAGGCCTTAAATATATGAAATTATTTGATATTTTTGTTTAATAAAAATAATGCATCGTTATCCAAACCTGAATTTTTCCTAGGGCACCTATAGAGACTTGTGGTGGTAGTATCACTGGTTTCGCATAAGTTCCCCCAACCTAAAATGTTGAAAAAAGTGTGATAAAAAGTGCAATGGGCACCACATTATGTAGGATTTAGACTTCAGCATGAGCTCGCTACATACTTTTTAGGAAAGCTGCTTAAGGTCCTTTTTAAAAAACTTTCAATTAAGAAATTTCAGTCATTCAGCCTCAAGTTTTTTATTTAACATATTCTATTATACAAAATATTACAATTATGTTTTAGTTATCATTTTTATTTATAAGAAAAAATACTATTGCTTCATATCAGTATTAAAAGTTATATTCGCCTCGTTAAAATAAATACTGGATTTATCGTAAATCTATCAAAATCGGCCAGACATAAATGCAGAATGCATGTTACTGGATGTACGATGAGATGATAATATGTTGTTGCTTTCTTAGGTTCATACTCTAGGTTCCTAGGTTCTATTTCTAACCTGCATAGGGTAACTGATATAAGATTATTACAACATCGATTAAATAAAAGCGATCATCGAAAAAATTAAAGATAGACAATAGTATACGAAGAAAATAAGACATGACTATCTAAATTACTTTTTTAAGGATCAATTCTTTCATTCACTCAGATTTCAATTTCTTATCAAAAACGTAGAATATAATATAAATTATCAAAAAAAAAATATTGAGATACAGGCCACAACTCGCATATATGTTAAAAAGAAACTGATCTTATGATCACATTCTAGAGAACAAACTCCAGAATTTTCGAAATTGTCCCATACACAGACTTTGTATTCTGTTTTAAGACCTAACATTTGAATAGATTTCTATCTAAATTGAGGGAAGTGGCTAAAACTTTAAACGATAACAGTTTTTAAAGTACTTAGTTATAATCTGTCTACTACATATTTCGTACATAAAAGTTGATTATATACATGTACCAAGTATGCGTCACATTATATTGTGACACGGTAACATAGTTGTATTTTATTATTGTTCTGACAAAAATATTCATATTGATTGTATAAAAACCACGTAATCGCCCAATACTTGAAGAAACTGCATAGTTATATAATGCCATTAGGCAAGCGCTTAATTCCTTAGTTTTATATATAAAAAAAGTAAAAGTAAAAGCCCATAAATGTCCCTGGGCTAAGGCTTCCTCTGTAAAGAGCCTAGTCCACCACGCGACCCCACTGCGGATTGGCGGATTTCACATATTTACGAAATATTTTTTTTGTTATTATTTCGAAAATATGCAGGTTTCCTCACGGACACAATTCGACACATAAAATTAACAATTTTATTGGTGCGGGCACCGGGGATCGAATTCAGATTACTCGAATAAATGAAATAAAAGGCGAGCGGCCGGAAACTGAGCTATCACGTCTCTAGTTTTATACAGCGTGTCTTTACAATCGCGACAATAAATAAACACGCACATAGGGGATAACTTTTTAAAATTGTATTAAACATTTACATTCTTTAAACATCAATATTTACAGAGTTATTAAATTTTCCAAAACAAAGAATTTTAGAACACCCGTACGTATAAAACTGTAACGTAAAGTTCATTTGTAAAGGTCACAAAGCACATGAATGGGTTGAATGAATTTAAAAGAGACAAAACATACTGTTAGAATTAGAGGCTTGTAATGCGACGCTGTGGCGCGAGTTGTATAGGTGTTACAAATTTTGTTTCTTTTTTACTTAATTAGTTTGTTTGAAAATTATTTTTTTTTAATTATAGATTTTGTTAAACGTTAATATTTTTTTATGATTATTGGCAAGTAGCGTTAGACGTCTATTCATTTATTGTCGCGATGGTAACGACACGCTGTATAATGTGCAAGAAGTATGGTAACTGTAATGTGCACGTCGTTGTTAGTAAAATGGACTAAATACACAACGTAATGTTTTTATTATTAGTAATACTACATCTTTGTGTCCTTTTATATTTGTATCTTTGTGTTCATTAATATCTTTCATCAGAAGTAAATATTATCTGAATATGTAAGTATATTTAAAGAAATAATACTTTCGACGGGTAACGACGTGCATGGCAAATGTACTTACTATATATCACAATATCATATAATACTTTATTAACATTAGAAGTGTCGTAAGTCGTTATAAGTTTTTTATTTCCTTTGATATTAAAGGAAATTATACAAGCGCGGAGAAAAACTAACCGAGAATTCTTAATTTGAAGAAAGGTGGTTCCCAACTTTTAATATAAAATATTATAATTGCTATATATTATAGAAATAATACTTACAACGCCTATGTTCGAGAGAGTAAATGTTCCTCCCGCTATATCGTTCAGTCCAAGTTGTCCTTTTAAACCTTTCTCTTGTAATATATTTAGTTCTTGTGCTATTTCAAGTATACTTTTATGTTGTACATTCTGAAAATTGATATTTAATCCAATTACCAAAATGAATTTAATTACTAATAGTATAAACAATATATTTCATTGTAAAATAATGCCACTTCATTTTAAGCGATACTTACTTTGATAACTGGGACCACTAAACCATTGGGCGTATCCATTGCAACTCCAATATTATGACTAGCTTTATATATTATATTTTCGCAGGAACTATCAAGACTACTATTAAGTACCGGATGTGCAGTTAGGGCTAAAGATGAAGCTTTGATAATAATTGGCATGTACGTCAGTTTGACTCCTCTCTCTTGAGCGATAATTTTTAAACTCTCCCTAGATTGAATCAGTTTTGTAACGTCATATTCATCACTCAATCCGAAGTGTGGAATTTTCTGTGAAAGATGTATAATGATAGCTTTCAAAACATGCAGTCAATACTAAAAAAGGAGTTATCGTTAGTATAAAAATTGACAAAAAATGACGGACGTTTAAACGTGCGTTAAGGTTGAATGATATAAAAAGGCTTACATACCAATAAATTTTTTTGAAACTTAATTACGATTAAAATGATATTATTTTTACTATCTGATTTAAATAAATTGCGATACTTCCGATTTGATGTAGTACATATGCCAATCCTTAAGAGATAGGACCTCCGATGATTTCATTCACCGAGCGAATGCAAAAGCATTAATATCCTACTGTACCACCGTAGTTTTTTATAAGACATTCCAAGTAAGCCCGTTTAATGTAAATCAAAAACTTCTGCATGGCATTACCGGAATAAAATTAAGTTATAACTTGTTTTATCCTTTGTTCTTACCATTGCTTCCGTCATCGATTTTACCATTGCTTTCGTAAAACCACTAATAGGTATAACTCTATCTTCTAACACTACTTCTACTTTCGCCTGTGCCATAGACACAGGCATAGAGATTGCGTTAACGGAATTTAAGTCCGAAACTTCGTTGGATTTATCAGATGTCATATTGAGGTGCGCCAAAACATCTTCCTTTAGGATTCTACCGTTTCTACCAGTTGGACTAACTGTGCTTAAATCTACCTGAAAACATTTTTAAATATTTTCATTAATTTATACTTAAAATTTATTTAAATAAAATATCGTGTTTTTTTTAAGTTACTTTAAATTGAGATGCAATCCTTCGAACTGCTGGCGTGGTCAGTACTTTTTTCTTATGATTAGCTTGATTTTCTATTTTACGGGCATCATTATTTATACTTTCTGTATCTGAATCCGACGAATCCTCTGTAATTGTGTTGTAATGTTAAAAATGAATAAACGCAATAACAATATTTTTCTTATATACGATTAGAGATACCTTCATCTGCGGTATTTTCAACATCAATGTCGACTAGGGGTTGCCCAACTAGTGCCGTTTGATCCATCTCGTGGTAGAGTTTCGTTACCACGCCGTCATAACGACTGGTGATTGTTACTGCTGCCTTGTCGCTTTGCACTTCGCAAATATTGTCAAACTGATTTACCTTATCGCCAACTTTGACGAACCTTTAACAGAACAATAACAAACCTTTAAAAATTTTCTTATTGTTTGAACTATTGTAACATGGCTATACGAAATGGTTAAAAAAAATTGTTAACATAAGTTTATATTGGCATGTTATAATAATGATTAACGATATAAAAACCCAGGCATATGAAAAAATACATACGTAAAAGAAATTTCGGAACCTATAATAACTTTTTGCGATCTTTTCTATATGTTTTTGCACGTCTTTTTACCCTATATTCATTTGTCTTAGACATTTTCCTAGATACGAACATTACAATCAGGTAATTTATTTATAGTGTGTGGAAATTTTTAGTGTTAATTATGAAAGGTTTTCATTGATTTAACCTTTATCTATATATTTAATAACATCATTTCATTGTTTAAAAAAAAATCAATTAGTACGTTGCTATAGGCATATGGAATATTAAATTACCATTCTTTGATAACTACTTCACGAATACCTTCTCCGATGTCCGACAATTTGAAGGCGACGATTTTGTTTGTTATATTTGTTGTATGGAAAAATTTGCAGGTTCTACTTTTCTCTTCAGCAGCTTTTAAGACTAAAGTGCTACTGTAACACGCGGGAACATGTCGCTTCTGTAACAAATGACATATTACCAAGTTTATATATAATGTATATTCCAATGTGGATTATTGTTATATTGCTTAGAAAATCAGTGGTTGACTGCTATATGAGATCGCGGCCTCGGCTCCCTCTGTGCATAAATAAGTAACACAGATGGCGATATTAAATAAAGTATCTGGAGGACCGAGCTTTGCTCGGTTTTCTTTTCGGTAAATCGTGTATTTTCGAAATAAAAAAATAAAAAATAAAGAAAATGATCTGGTATACAAAAAAAAGTTAAAAAAAATAAGCGTGTAAATGATCGTGATACCAACAGCGGCCGTCTGTTTTGGGGCCGCCCGATTACTGACCGAGCTATTATAACATTTTTTTTGCGGCGAAATTTACTGTCATATTCGTATGATATTTTTCATTCCCTGAAAACAGGGATAAAAGGAAATTTCATGAAAATCGCTGGTGCCGTTTCCGAGTGTCCGATTACATATATATACAGCACATATATATATATACATATATATATATATATATACAGCGTGTCGTTACCATCGCGACAATAAATGAATAATTAAAAAAATGTATTTTTGAAACAAACTGATGAACTAATGAAGTAAAAAAGAAACAAAATTTGTAACATCCTATACAACTCGCGCCACAGCGTCGCATTACAAGCCTCTCCTTCTAACAGTATGTTTTGTCTCTTTTAAATTCATTCAACCCATTCATATGCTTTGTGACCTTTACAAATGAACTTTAAGTTACAGTTTTATACGTAAGGGTGTTCTAAAATTGTTTGTTTTGTAAAATTTAATAACTCGGTAAATATTGATGTTTGAAGAATGTAAATGTTTAATAAAATTTTAAAAAGTTATCCTCTATATGTGTGTTCATTTATTGTCGCGGTGGTAACGACACGCTGTATATATATATATATATATATATATATATATATATATAATATATAGAGTAAAGAGCAACCTTAACCGCGCTGAAAAACGCCCTAGTTACAGGGCTGTAGCTAGAGTTGAATTTGAGGTAGGGCAGCATTGATTACAGGTAGGGCGGAAGTAAACAATTAAATTGAATTTATCATAATTGATTTGCCCTCGAAGCATGAGCTCCTTCTTGTATCTTGTATTAACTGATGTTTTTACTTTCAGTCCCGAAGCATGAGCTCCTTCTTGTATCTTGTATTAACTGATGTTTTTACTTTCAGTCCCGAGACTATTAAAGCTTCATCTGACGCGGAACCGGTGGGCTAGCAAGAACCCACGAGTATGGGCCCTCCGCTGTGGGTAGGGCCACGCATGTGTTCATGCGTGCGTTTAAGTATGGTGTGTCATCTAAGGGCCATCGAGGTCGCGGTTCGGACCGAAACCCGGATGGCCGTCGACTATGCAATTAGCTAATCGGTGGCTGGGAGCGGTGAGAACCGCCCCGGAACGCGGGTGTACCTTGTTTACGCGTTGTGTTGGTCTCGCCGTGCTCGTAGGCGAGGGCGAACTAGTGTGTTTGTTGTTGCACTAACTGTGGGTGTAGTGTTATCCAGCGGGACCCCCGGCGGTGGGTCCATCGTTTCTAAGTCCTCTTCGTCGCTCGGGTCGATGAGGACGTTTCGCGGGCGACGCTTGTTGACATTCGCGTTTGTGTCGGGTTGGTAACTTGCTGCGCTTACAACCAGAGGGTTGGGATGATGTTCGGCTCTATCGAAGTCAGTTTGGTCAGGTCTTTAAAATATTCGCGAATCGTCGGGAGTCTGCAATCGCTGTGCAGGTCGACGTTGCGTTGATACCACTGCGCACCGGTTGCGCGGCGGATGAACTTATTTTGTACTATTTGCAACTTGTACAAGCGAGTAGGGTGCGTGTGGACGAAGGTCATGCATGCGTAGGACATAATAGGTCGTACGCAGGTCTTATATAATAATAATTTGTGTCTTAAGGGCAGTTTACTTTTAGCGTTAGTTAAATTGTGTAGCCGGCCGGAGAAAAACGCGGCTCTATTGCGAACTTTATTAATGTGCGTATTAAATGACATACGCGAGTCGAAAGTGACTCCTAAGTATTTGACCTTTTTCTCCCAGGGGAGCGCTTGGCCATAAAGGGATATTTACACCAACTCGCATGAGCTCCTAAATCAATCATCATGTATATCACTGACCTCTAGGTCAGTTCAATAGCTATTCGTAGACAAATAATTTCTGTGACAGAACATGAGCACGGGTATAAGCTCTACTAAATCCTTAATGATGAAGAATAAGCGAACAAGATGGTTGAACTTCCAGCTTTGGATGTAGAGATCCACGTCTGAGGAGAGTGAGGTAATAATTAATTTTTGGATGAGATGATACGACCAAAAATAGCACTTATATCAAATTGTTTCTGCAGACCTATTATAATAATTAACATAATAATAAAAATATTTAAAACAGCTGAATTTTTCGATTCGCCATGTTATTAAAAATGCGAAGAACTTCGTTCAGATCAACTGATTTTGTCCTTTTTTTCCAAAGGCCAGTAATACCTTACCAGCCATTCTTTCGTGACCCATTGACAGCCTTTGAGGCCTATTGATTGCAGTTAAAGTTGAAAACGTAGATTCGCACACTGCAGTGCTACATCCTATGGTCGCCACAGATGCAAAAAGTTCATATGTATCTATAAACGCCTCTCGTTGCCTGTACAACACTTGCAATGTATTTTCCATTTTGTCCTTGTTGCGACTCAAGTAAACTTTAACCACACTAGCCTACTTGAATTTTAAAATTTTTTTAAACTTACCCAAACTTTTCAGTGGAAGCATTTTATCTACATCCAACTCATTGAGACTTGCAATCGAATTGATTAGATCATCATCATTCAATTGCCTATTTTATTATTATCTTATCCTTTAAACGAGCAATTCTTGTATATATATATATATAATCGGAATCTCGGAAACGGCTCCAGCGATTTTCATGAAATTTAGTATGTGCGTAGATTCGGGGGCGAAAAATCGATCTAGCTAGGTTTCATTTTTAGAAAATGTCCTTTTATCCCTGTTTTCAGGGAATGAAAAATGTAATTCGAATATGACGGTAAATTTCGCCGCAAAAAAAATTTTTATAATAGCTCGGTCGGTAATCGGGCGGCCCCAAAACAGACGGCCGCAGTTCGTATCACGATCACACACTTATTTTTTTTACTTTTTTTTCTATACCTGATCATTGCTTTCTTTATTTTTTTTTTAATTTCCAAAATACATTATTTACCAAAAAAACGAGCAAAGCTCGATCCTCCAGGTATTTTTTTTATACGAGTACACAGAACAAAGAATTATTAGAATATGAAATAAATGTACACACACTCGTAATGAGTTGATCGCACCCAAGCTATTTCTAAAAGAAAGAAAAAAAAAACAGTTGTATAATATTAATTTTTTAAGAAAAAAATTACGAATAACAGGATACCTGCGGAGTTTCTTTCGCCTGTTTCTTCTCCGTTAGAGGAACCTCATGATGAAACGGTGGTAGATTAAAAAAATACTATCGATAGATGAAATGCATGTTTCCTAAGTCCATAAATAAATTATTTTGATTTTGACAAACTGTTCGGAAAAGTTGAGATACCTTTCGCTACAATTTTTATTACAATAATGTATCTTACTTTTTGAATGAATAAATGAATGAATACTTTATTGTCCACTACACAAAAGAGGATACACAAAATTAACAATAGACAAACACATTAATAGAATGCACAATTTGGCAGCCTTATCACTTCATAGCGATCTCTTCCAGGCAACCAATGGCGTAAAGGAACTTTACTACGTAGGTTGTGCAATAGTATAGTATATAATGCAGTAGTAGAGTTTAACAGCCTGTACGGTAAAAGATTTTATAAAAAATTACGTTTTGTGGTTTGGCACCTTTAAAGATGAGCTTCCTCGAAGAAGGTAGGATCTTCCCCTAGAAGCCCTACAAATTCAAATTTCTCCTTTAAATAAAGTGGAGTAGAAACATGAAATAGAACACAGTAGGTACAACATAGAAAGAATATACAAATTCCGGCGAAGTAGGATGGGAAATCACTTGAGACGTGTACGAAATTGAAAAACGTGGTCATATTTACGCATTTTTTTTTGGTATTTTTAAGGTAGGGCATTGTGATTTTAAGGTAGGGCATTGCCCTACACTAAAGCTAAAACAAAATCCTAATCCTGTTACTTTTAAAAAATACTCTTAAAAATGCTCTTATTACTTCTAATCGACTTCATCTTATCCTTTAAACGAGCAATTCTTGTATGTATGTTTGTGAAAGTTTTATCCCAATTAACGGCAAAAACCATGTCTAATATAACTGTTCTACATAGGTCATACTAAAAGTTTCCTTACATAAAAAACATTTAAAAATTATTAAAAATAAAAATATTTGAAATTCTTTGGCTGTAGAATGCAGTTTGTTTCATCTGAGTGTTAATTGTTTTTACATTGTGCCATTTTTGGGCGGGATGAAGCACAATGCCAGAAGACTGTTTATAGTTGGTTTGTGGAATTCAAGCACGGTTGTGTCAATCTCAGTGAACAATCTCACGATGGTTGGCAACCATCCACCGCTGTAAACGACGAAAACATCGATGCTGTGCGCCGTATGAACGAAACAGACAGCCATGTGACCTACCGGATTTGGATATGAGATTCGGGCTTCCTTAGACATAGGCAAGAGTCAAATACAATCAATCCTACAAAAACATTTGAGTGTGAGAAAGCTATGCTCGCGGTGGATCCCACACAATTTGACCGAAGCTCAAAAAACGGACCGCGTCACTTAATGCAATGCTAAGCTTACTAGATGCAACGAAGGGTCGTCAAATCTGGTGTGGGATATAATAACAGGTGACGAAACATAGATTTATTGCTATGATCCCCATAGATCACAAACAAAGCAGCAATTTAGCGTATGTGTCTTTCAAGATGAGGCGAATTACCCGATCAACGATTTTCAACACCAGAAGAGGCTCTCAAATTATGTATGAAAAACACGTTTATGAGGTCACCACAGAGGAGGGGCAGAAATGTTTTCAAATTTGGTTTAATCTTATGAAAATGTGCCACGCAAAGAGGGAATATTTTGAGAAACAATAAATTCATTTTTGACCTTTAATAGTACTTTTTCTTATTTATTCCGGAAACTTTTAGTGCGCCCCACGTATTAATTAATATTTATAATATTATCTTTTGGCCAATGGCAACTTCAATCCAATCCCAATCTTTCTTATCAATTAAAAAGAAGTAGGACATATTATAGTCACACTTACAATGAAATTGAACACTAAAAGCCTTTCTTCCAGATATCACAGTAAAATTCGTCCATTTAGGAAAAGTAGAGGGATTCTAATAAAGTTATAGTTATACAGAAATAAAGAGTATGTATCTTAAAATTACAGTAAATTAATGTTGGACTTTTTTTTTATGAGAAAAATTTTGCCAAGCGAGCAGACGGTTCACCTGATGTTAAGTGAATACTGCCGCCCATGGATATCCGCTACACCCGAGGGTTGCAGATGCGTTGACAACCTTTTGAAAATTGGGCTCCAGCCACCTCAATCACCAGACGAAACGCGAAAGTATTATACTTCCACTTTACGCCGGTCTTCTGTGAGGTCGTGGTACTTACCCCCACGAGCCTGGCCATTCGTGCAACAGCCGAGGCTGCTGCGTGGCCCTACCACCGTTACAATAAATGTTTGTACACTGCTTATAACTTTTGATTACTCATTTAGGTAATAATAATAACTATTTGGTTGACCCATTTTATTAATTTTAATATGGTGTAACAATTCCATACTTTATGGCATTGATATAATGATATCAAGTGATTGCGTTAACTTTATTTACAATTAGTTACACATGATAAGTTTTGGGTTTGTTTTGTACGTGTTATCTCTTTCATTTGAACCAGATCGCACGAGGTGGTCGCCCAATCAAAGTAAAGGCGAACGTTCTAAGACGCTCTCGCTACTCAATAACCTGTTTGAATACCGCAAATACAGGTTATACCCCATATTCCCAACAGTATTATGATGAATTTTTTAGGGTTTTATTCTATAAGAAGTATTTTAATAGTCACATGCCAGTTAAATAAAAATATATAGTTGTCTAATTCCATACGTTAAAAAGCCTATTATTCACAAACCATGATCAATTTTTTGCCGAACTAATTATTTATTATAAACTAAATTACCATTCTAGCGCATGTATATATACATAATGCAGTTGTTGCATGAATTACAATCACGTAACAAAAATATTCCGACTTAAAATACTCGATGAAGATGTAATAAAGCACTTACACTTTGAACCATCAGACACACTTTCTTACATTTGTTAACATTTCGCAAATTGTTAACAAACTTTCTCACCACAAACGCCATGGCGACAGGGTTATTTAAGTATGAAATCCGATAAATTAGTTCTTAATACAAAATCACGTTTGCAGTCATGACGCGGGCGTTCGTGTTTTGCCTCGCGAGCATACTGCGTGTTATCGTACAGAACTACAAACCTATCACCAGCAGTCGCCGCGTCGATTACCATTTTAAATAATTATGCTCAAAAGTCGTATATTTCGTGTTTCCAATGTCATGTGTGTATTAGCTCGAGGTCAGTGCTTATGTGAACCTTATTACCAACTTGTGAAACTATTCGTGTCATAAAGTTATGTTAGTAATTAATGTAGTTTTTATCTTAGTAAATAAAAAATATTTATTGTGTGTAATAACTCTTTTTGATGTGCAAATTGAGTGCCGCATATACATATTATTGATAAGTATCATCATTAATAACTAATAACTGCAGATTTGCGAAAGTAAAAAGACACTGAAAAACGTGAATGCAGTCATACGGTTTAATTCATTACATTCTATTATTTACATTCAAACCGATGATAAAACTAATACCTCCACCGAATCTGTATATATTTACGTTTTTAATTTCAACCCGCATTAAGATTTTACATACCGAGTACCGCAAAAGAAATCCTATTAACTACTATTACTTATTAACTGGTATTAAAAAAACAAATTGCTTTCGTGGTGTCAAATTATTTTAGGAAATAATAATGAAGTTTATTTCATATAAAGTTTATTTATAATTATTTTATACAAAATTATTATAAATTTTATATATCGAATATTACAACCAATCCGATTTAAAATAGATATATTTGGGCCACAGTACAGGTCGAGGTATATCTTGTAGTCCTGACACGAACCTAGTGTCACCTTGATTACCTTTAACTTTGTCTCGTATTTCACAAACATTTTTATCACTTATCAATTTAGAAGTGAGAAGAGATGTATTAGGCTGCAAAAAGGGATTTTATGGCTTTAAGAAATTCTGTGCTGCTTTATGTTATCTTTGCTTCACAGTTAAAGGTTATTATAACACATAATTGTGAAGAAGATTATGAAATGATGTAAGAGCTAATTTAAACTGAATTGTATGACCATCACAACCATTTAATTAGAAAGTTTCGATGTATAGAGTATTAATTAGTAACGTAAAATTACACATTGCTATAACTTATTCTGAAGTAATATAAGGTTCGCATTATAAGCTGGCCACAGTAACACTGCCACCCCTCAAGTATCTTAAACAAGGAAACTTGCAAAATCGTTCGGAAGCTTGTTGAAGCCCTACCCCTTGAACTCATGGATAGTCCGGTACCATGGGTAAATAAAGTCAAATACTTAGGTGTTATCCTTGACTGGAAGACCGAACCGACTTAAGAACCGGGTGGCCTATGTATTTGGTCGCCTTTATCCTCTAATAAATAAAACATCGAAAATGTCCCTTCGAAACAATTTACTTTATATAAGGCAGTAGTTCGCCCTATAATGAAGTACCTACGGGAGTCCGGTTCTTGGGTATATTGCTCCGAAGCAAATACACTGACTTCAGGTCACCCAGAATAGATTTTTGCGCAGAGCTACGGAAGCATCGTGGTTCATGGGCAGAATCGACTTGTATATATAAATTTAGAGCTGCGTACCATCGCTTCACTTCGAGTCCGCCACCGCGCATCCCAATTCGTTAATCGAAAGTGTCGTCACCTACAAACCCCTGCCGCTAGGTATGTTCCGCTGGAAATGGCTCATACACGTCGTCGATTTTTTATTATTATTAATTTATAGGTTCCGCCATGTACCTGGCAGGTTTTCCCCGTTAATGATAGAGGCGTTGCTTGAGTTTCTTCCGCTACTTATTCTCTCAGCGACAACGCTTTCCGAAGTGATAGTAATAAAAGAAAAATTATTTAGAAATACTCCAAATTAGAATACAGCTACCTCTCGGGCACCCTCTATTTGGAATGCTAAACGGCTACTGACTGAGTAACAGTCCAAGGCAAGGTCCCCTTCGGGGGCCCTTGAGCCTAGTCGACATCACGAAGCGTCCTCCAAAGTGACCTAAGAGCTTCCCAAACTGGTGAAAATAATAATAGCGTAACGGTCTGAGCCGACGCTCCCTCGGAAGCCTTCGAGCTTAGTTACTCATAATTCACGAACAGGCTAGGCGCCGTCAGCACCCGGCTGTCTCAAGCCCAGTGTATTTTGATTGTTCCAGCCAAAAAATAAGTACATTATTTACTAGGTCTATGAATATGTGGATTTGTATGAAATAAATGTAATTATTTTTTTCTATCTTTTTTATTTTTGTTATGACAACTTCTTGTAAAAATTCAGTTGGACGGGGGGCAACAAACTCTTGAAAAGCATACTTCCTCTCGAGAATTGAATTTTTTTTCGAAAGTTCACTTCGTGGGGAACCCATCTATCAAAATTTTTTACCTTGCCAATTTCTCGTAAATGGAACAATATCTTTTCGATGCTAACATCAAAAGCTGCTGCTAGCTCGGCTGTAGATTGTGTATCATCAGCTTCCACAATCGGATTTATTTCATAATTGTTGATCAAAGTGTTCGACCACGAGGTTCATTTTTCAAGTCAAAATATCCAGAAGGAACCGGGCAAACCAATAACGTTTTCCTTATAAACGTTGTTGATGTTACGTGCCGTTTGTACCGCGTTGGCGCCACGAAGGAACTCGTATTCTATAATTACACGAATTTTTAAAGTATCCATTATGACGAAAAATGTTTAAATGTAATGAGAATACAACTGATTAGCATCAGTAAATAGAAAACTTTGTTTGTATAAAGAATTACATGTCTTTAAAAATTCATTTGAATTTAGAATTCACAACCAATCAATTTTTTTTTGTTTGAAATGGCCAATAGGCACTAAAGAATAATGTCCGGGGTCCCAGGCCCATTTTCACCTTTTATTACTAACAAGCAGATTTTTGGTGAGTAGCTTCATTTTAACGAGACGCCCAACTTTTTCTTTACAACAATTTTAGTAAACGGTACCTAACAGGGTTAGCAGAGGTGAAATATGTTGATTTGACGAATTTCAAAAAATTATTATTAACTGAATTTTTCTTTATTAATTCCCAAGATAATTATCTAAATAAACCGTAAAAATATTTTTCCTTTAAAATTCAAAGTTTTATCAATGGGTTTTGATAAAACTTTCTCCAAAATGTATAATTGACAAGGTCTTGAAAAGTAATTACTAAACAGCTATTTTTTTCTATTGGTTAGTTAATATTTAATAATAATAATAATAATAATAAATTCGCCTCCAATCGCTCCCATTTGATGGAATTGCTTAAAGTCACTTGTGATTTCAGCAATTCTATCAAAATGGAGCTTGGGACGGATAAGTGCGCGGTCCTCCATGTCGAAAGGGGTAAGGTCGCTAATACGGAGGGCATAGACCTATCTATGCCCGTTAACATAAGGACCCTCTCTGAGGCTGAAACATACCGATACCTGGGTATGTCACAAAACATGTGTATCGATGAGGCTGGCATGAAACAGTCAGTTCGTGACGTGTTTTTTGCACGCCTGACAAAGGTATTTAACAGCCATTTGTCAGGCGTGAACAAGGCACGCGCATTTAACGGCTGGGTCATGCCAGTCCTCATGTATACCTTTGGCATACTCAGGTGGACTCAAACTGAGCTCAACGCCCTGGATCGAAAAGTCCGCACAACTATGACGTCCCACAGAATGCATCATCCGAGATCGTCAGTGATGAGGCTCTACCTGCCGCGGAAGCATGGCGGGAGGGGCTTTTTAAGCGCCTTCACCATGCACAATCGCGAGGTGTGCAGCCTCCGTAACTACTTTCTGGCGAGATCGGATGAATCAATCTACACGGACGTCATTAGTTGTTATAAAGGACTTACCCCTCTATCCTTAGCCAACGAGCAATGGCAGGACCCGGGAGTACTGAGCGTTTCCGAGCGAGAGACCGTATGGAAGTAGAAAGAGCTCCACGGGAGGTTCTACAAGGCTCTACACGAGCCTTTCGTAGATACCGTTGCCTGCCTTAACTGGCTACGTTTCGGTGACCTCTTTGGGGAAACCGAAAGTTTTGTCTGTGCGATACAGGATCAGGTTATTAAGACGAACAACTATCGGAGATACATCCTAAGGGATGGCACCGTCGATCCCGGGAGTCGATCACCGTCGACTCCGCCATCCCGGGGAGTCGCTACGGCATGTTATCTCCGGTTGTTCCATGCTTTCTAACTCTGAGTATCTGCATAGACACAACCTAGTAGCCAGAATTATACACCAGGAGCTCGCTCTGAAATACGGACTCGTGGAACGGAAACTGCCGTACTACAAGTACTCTCCGGAGGCCGTGCTCGAAAATGACCGCGCCAGGCTCTATTGCACAGTCGCGGGTATTTTTGGTCGAAATTACCATTCCATATGACGAGAACCTCGTGAAAGCCGAAACAGATAAGAAGACGAAGTATCTGGACCTGGTGGTGACCGACATGTGGGGTGGTGTGCCGACCGAAATTATCCCAATAGTCGTGTCTGCGAATGGGTTAATCCCAGTCAGCCTCTCCGAACATCTGAGGCGACTGGGACTCCGGGACGGAACGCTCCAAGCTCAAATGCAGAAGGCGGTGCTCCTCGATACCGCCCGCATCGTCCGCCGGTTTCTCTCCCTCTCACCCTAACCCTCGGCCGTTTGGTCTCCCCTGCCGAGGGCTTCCGTCTGGTTGGGTCCTATTTATTTATGTATTATATATAATATTTATACCTGTATATTTATTTTTATTCATAATATTTATTTTATAGATGCAATATATATTTATGTGTTTATTATTTATCCCCAAACCCAACCAGACGAGAAAACAAATAAATACCCCCAATATTCTTCATTGCACACCAAAATGAAATATACAAACAAAACCTTAAAGTTTAAATGATAGGTACAATGGGCGGCCTTATTACTAAAAGTAATTTCTTCCAGGCAACCTTTGGATGGATTGGAATACATTAAGGAAT